AGGGAGAGCTAGCCACCATCTGGGCTCTCCTTTGCTGCCAAAGACCAGATGTGACAAGCAAGAATCCCAGCTGAGCCCATTGAGAAGTCTGCTTGGGTATTTTGAGCCACAGACGTCAGAGATTTATTGCAGGACACTATTTGGCTGGTGCCATGAAGCTGTGTTACAGTGAAGGAACTGCAGAGCACAGTGGCACTGTTCAAATAAGTGATCATGCTGCAGAGATCGCAAGTAATACAAAAGGCAATGAGCCTCAGTCTGTTTTAGTGAGCTAAAGGATGCCCAGCTGCAAGCCCTGGATTCTTGGAATAGGTAAAGAAAAAGGAAGGGAAAGGGAGAGGTGACCTGAAAACTTACTAATGGAAATCCTACACTCTTTCTGTATGTTAAAAGCCTAAGAAAGAAGGTGCAGTCACAACAGACACCAAGAGAGGTGGTGTTGTTTGCCTGGGGAGGCCCTAACCTTCAGCTGAACAATGCTCTTGCTTCTGTGTCACAGCAGATACTGCATCTTGAATATTTTGTTTGCTTTGGCATTGAACAGATGGCAAGGAACTGGAAGGGATTCAAACAGCAGCAGACATGATTTAAGAAGAACTGTCTTGAGAAACAAGCAAATCTATTTAAAGTATAAAGCCACCAAGAAGGGGGAACTATTGAGTTTTGCAGAAAACAGTGTGATCTAAAGGAGTAACCAAGCGGTGGTGGTCTCCAGCACTGTGCCAGGGGCCTGCTGAGCATCCTTGGCAAGGTGTGCACATGCACAACCATCAGCCACGTACCCTGCACCCCAGAGGCTGCAGTGCTGCAGCAGCGCCGTGTGCTGCATCCCCTCAGGTGGCCATAGCAACCACCAGTGATACCAGGATCCAGGCCCCGGAGCAGGGCTGCCATAAGGGAAGAAGACACAACCACCACCTCCAGGCAGGCTAGCAGGGAAAGGCATGGCGTGAAGCTGCTGCGTTCAACACATCGCCTCTCGCCAGGGCTGAAGGTCGCCGTGTCGGAAGCGGAGGAGATCCGCAAGCGAGGGCACCGCGTCCACCTTCCCAGGAGAGCAGCTGCGTGCTCGGGCTGACACCTAGCGGCGGAGTCGGCTCTCTCCTCCCGGCGGTGGCGGCGTGGAAATCTTTTTTCCATTGGCTTTCACCCTCTGACAGCGCGCTGGGCTCACCGAAACGCGGAAAAAGCTTTCCTCGGGACAAAGCTTTCACCAGCTCACCTCCTTGGTGTCCCATGGGTGGAGCAGGCTGTCGTGGGATGGTGACTAGACCTCGCTGAGAGGTGGCTGCATCAGAGAGACCTGAGCTGTGCAGGATTAAGACAGACCCGTGGATGCTCCTCCTAAATCCCTGCCAGCAGTGCTGGAAATAGCCCAAGTGGGGACCTGCAGCTGAGTAGGACTTGGATGAAATAAGCTGGAATCCAAACAGGCAAAGCAATGGGCCCCTAACCTTATTTTTTGGAAAAAGATACTGATTTTAAAATGTTTCGTGCCCCTGCTAAGTGCATTAGCAGCCTGGGCGGTCGCAGTGAAAGAAAAATAGCGTCTCTGTGGTGATCTGGTGCCTGTGGCAGGCATTCAGGGGGTGATTTATTGCTTCTTTGGCTGGCAGCTGGACAGCCACACTCTGTGCTCACATATTATGGGGTTGTTTTCTATTGCCTCCAAACTTCCTTGAAAGAGCTAAGTACTTTGCCACCTACTTTCGCCTTTGAAAATCAATGGCGTGTTGGCCATGTCAAGGGAAATAAATCCTGATTGGGAAGGGGAAGCACGGGGCTGCTGGTGCTGGAGGTTACAGTAGCATGTCCATCCCCAGCAAATGGAAATGACAGAAGATTGGCTGGTTTGTTTTTGATGCCACGATGTTGGGTGGGAAAACAGAATGTGCTGCACGCTCTTAGAACATGAAGAAGAGAACTTTTCTGGCATCCAGCTGCCCCAGGGGGCTGGTAGAGCAGGAGCAGCCTGTGTGCGGAGCCAGGAGAGGTGGAAGCTCAGGGGGCTGGACCAACACAGGAGGTGGTGATGGGCTCCAGAAAAATGAGGTGGAAATGAATTCAGGGCCAGATGAACCTCTCTGTGGAGAGAGGGCCCTGAGTCAATGCAGAGGGATGCCCTTCTGCTATTTTTCTATCAGCCAGGCAGCGGAAATACTGTATTCATGCAAGATGGCCACTGCTTTTCCACTGGGAATAAACAGCAAGGCCCTTGGTCAGGGTACTTGCCCTTCATGTGCTGTTTTGTTTTGGTGCTGAAAGAGGAACGATGAAAGAGAAAAGGTTTTACTGTGTCTGAGACCCCCACAAGCCAGTCTTGGGGTCTTCTTCCACTGAGGGGAAAGAAGCAGGGAGGAGAAAGGTGGTAGCATTATGTTTTCCAGTTTTTGGTGCAATGTGACTCATGGTTTTTGCTTGTAGATCTTTGTTGCTCTTCAGTATCAGTTCTGTGCTTTGATAATCTAGAAAATGAACGGGACTTAGCAAACTAACTAAATTTTCCAGCTCTAAAACAGAGCTGCTTCTTATTGTCCGAAAAAAAGTTCAAGGGAACAACTTGGCCATAAGCAACAGGCCAGGATTCTGTAACCTGAGCATTCAGCTAATGAGGACATTCAGCTGATGTGAAGATAAGACCTTGCCCTCTTACAGAAAGGAACATTACTGCTGGTTGGATAGGGACAGACCTTACCTGTAAGGAAACCTGGTGCAGATCCAGCCTGAGAAGTTATAACTTGCTGACAGAGAAAAATTCATAGCTGGGGAGCGGCTGCCATGAAAATATCATTCTATTCCAAACACAGACCAGTTGCAAAACTGATGGCTCTTCTTGGCAGGGTGAGTTCTCTAAAGGTGATTCACCAGGCAGTCCAATAAGAACCCATCATGCTGCAAGATAAGCCCTTCATTTGCCTTCCAGTAACACCTTCAACCTCCAGGAACCAACACCCAGGACCGAAGCCATCAAAAATGTAAAGCCAAAACGACTGTAGTGAAGTGGCACACAGCAAAAGCAATGGCAGCTGGGGGCAGCAACTTGCTTGGTAGCAGAGGCAGCTGGGCAGAGATCAGCCTTTAGGGACAAAAGTATGATTACCACCAGGCTGGCTTCAATAACTACTGTCCGAATAATGGCCCTTCTTCTTCTTTGGCATGCTGAGATCCAAATTCCCATGACTTTTAAGTGCTGATTTTAGAAGTTGTTGCTGAACTCTATAACCTCTACACTATAAAAGATGCCAAATGAAAATACACACCCAGGCACACACACACACATATATTTATGCTAGTCCTGGATAGTTTGCTTTGTGTCTACACTAAGCACAAGCCAACACTGTCTCTTTTGCACCCAGTGTAGAAGGGTACGAGAATGTTCAAACATGGGATATAATTTTATTCTTGGAAAGTAGGAGATCATCACCGACCTGCCAAACATTTGGCCTCTCAGATTACCACTTATTTAGTGGAAAAGTCTGAACTCCTAATACTTTACTGAAATGGGCCTACATTTGACTAGCATGAGATGTCTCTTAGATTGTTAAACTTCAAGCTTACACTTTCATCTTTCAGAGCTGCTGCTCAAATGATATCTGACACTGACAGAAGCCCATGTGCAGGATGCTGGTGGACATGCAGAGGAGTTCTGCTGTTCTCTTGGAGGAGCTGTTCTCTTGGAGGAGCTACTGGGATGTGAACTGATGCACTGAGCTCAGTGTCATCAGGAACGCGTTTGAGTCAAGGCACAATAGGTTTCATAACACAGATTTTGTTTTGATGATGATGGCTTCCTTTTTTATCCTACATAAACTGAGTGATTTTGATTAACATGCTTGGCTTTCCAGGTTTCCATCTCCACCTGAACCATAGCATGTTGACCCCTGTTTCTGGTAGTAAATTTCCCTACTGTCCAGAGAAGTGACCTGACAGCAGAGACAAAGAAGAGAACGCAGTACTCAGTTCCTTGGGACTAGCCATCTGCTTTCCCCATATAACAAATGCTATTGGGCACTTCCAACAGAGAGAGCTGTATTGTGTTGTGTTGTTGAGGGTTCCTCAACAAAGCAAGAACTTCTGCATTACAAGGTACTGGAGTTGAGGCAAGCATGGCCTTGTGCTAATTAAGTAATAATGCTGCAGGGGCATAGGTTAGAAATATTTGGTAGGTACTGAAGGTGGAAAAGGTTTTAAATGAAAGGAGGGAGATTTAGGTAAGATGTTTGGTGAAAATTTTTCATTCAGAGGGTGGTGAGACTCTGGAATGTGTTGCCCAGAGAGGCTATGGGTGCCCCATCACTGGAGGTACCCAAGCCCAGCTTGGATGGGCGCTGGGCAGCCTGAGCTGGTGGGGGGCACCCAGCCCATGGCAGGAGTTGGGGTTGGGAGGGATTTAAGGTCCCTTCCAACCCAACCCATTCTATGAATTTATGATTCTTTGGGTTGATATCTAAGCAAAACTTGAATATTTTGGATGGAATTTGGTCCAGTTTCAGACCATGAAAATGACCCTTCTCCCAGAGCTGGCCAGTCCTGCACTCAGGCCAACACACCATGATTGAAGGAGGAGCTGGGTGCTGAATGCAGCAATGAGATCCCATCACCTGGAGTGGGCTTCCCAGCCTGATCTGACTTGAACTCCTTTCTACTTCCCCCTAGGTAGTGAGTTTAACACCACCAGGCTTTTTTGCATGCATGACTGACATGAACAGAAGCCTATTTCTTGTATGTCACGTTTCTCATGATGAAGTGCTGCATACTGAAAGATTGTAGAAGTAATTAACTTTGTGTTAACTATCATCCAGGAAGGTCTGGTGGAACAGCAGATGCCTTGTCAAATGGACTCCTCTGTGTAGAAGCATTTGTAGGAAGGCACAGTACAGGAGCAGACACCGATAAAGCTGACTTCCACCATTCAACTACAAAGAGAAGACAAACTATGAGGTTTGCAGCCAACAGTAATAAAATTCTGTAGCAGGTAATTTTTGCCAAAGTGAGATCTTCCATCATCTAAGAAGACAGATCCAATTACTGCTAAAGGTTTTTTATGGATGTCAGCAGAGGAGTTAGTGACATCTGTGACACTGTCGTTTTAGGTTTGGTGGGGAGACAAGGATGAAGAACCTTGGTCAAGCATTTCTGACCTTCAAACTTCAAATGGGTACAAACTTCTTCCTCTTCTTCAAAGGAACACAAGCACCATGCTATTCCCATTAAGGTGTTTTTGTCTGGAGGTGGCTATGCTTTCTTATCTAATGTGGGAAAATGCAACCAAACAAGTAAGTCAGGCTGCGATGGCCAAAGTGTTTAACCACTGCTTTATGGAAGAACAAGGTAGAAGATGACAACCAGAGTAGTTATACCATCTTATCTTTCCTCCAGAGAAGAAAGGAAGACAAATTTCCACTTTAGATTCTCTAGTGTTTTACTTTCAGGAGCTTTTGTTCTCACATGTGCTCCTGTGCCTAAGGACATGGGTCAAGTGGTGCTGTGGGGCAGCTGGTGACCCTAAATGAGCCAGTACTGTGAATCTGGAGAACACGCTTCCAATTCCACCACTTCAGGACAAAATGAAATAAACCATCCAAGGACACTGAAGGCAGTTTTCCAAAAACGGACACTTGCTTTTGGCCAAGAGGATTTCCTGAGCAGCCCAAGTGGCTGAGGATCTCATCCCAAACAGTTGTGATCAGTGGGGTATCTCCTTGTGCACAAACCGGGCTTAGGGATTGTCTTTATTCATGCTTCTTCCAAAACATGGCATTGCTGCTAACTTGTGTAAACTATTGTCCTTGGACTTCAGCTCAGGCTCTGATAGCTTTTGTAAGAGCGTTTGTATCAAAATATTATTGTGCTGGAGTCTCTAAGGCCATCTGGGGCTTTGTGCAGACAGGGTGCTTACAAATGAATGTGAACCAAAGCAAATCAGCATTGCTTGGCAGGGATGAAATGCATTGCTGGGGTCTGTCTCTGCCAAGTGAGACTGCTTGGCCCCGGTCCCATTCTTCAGGGGGATTGTCTGTCAAAACACAATTTGGCTTTGTGAGGCATCATGGTTACATGGCTCACTGTGTCTTTAACTCCTCTCAGGCCTCGTGCTGCTGCTATTTGTGAGTGGAGATCTGTAAATTTCTCTCTCTCTCAACAGGGCTCAGGTTGTGGCATTTTGCACCAAGCATCCCTCAGGTTGTGCTTTTCCTTAGGAGCTCTCAATCAGCAGATTGCAACTCTCTTGAAAGGAAGACTTTATTTCTTTAGTGCTGTGAGATAATAAAAAGACATCACTTTGTGACATCTTGTGATGGAGGCCCAGCTTCTCAGCCTTGCCACCTCAAACATCAGGTCATCCTTTCAAGGTGAGTCCAACTTGGTTATCTGATTACTGTCCTTAATTATCCCACCCCTGATGAGCAGCAGCTGCAGCTTCTGCCAAGTCCCCCTGGCAAGCCCAGAGGGCAAGCTAGGACATCAACATGAACATGCTCACCCTGCTAACGATGCATAATCACAAGTGCCTCCCCACTTCTGAACATTTTTAAGAGTTCATTCACCTTCCATATGCACATAGGAAGCAATTACTTGGGTGGCTTTGAGCCCATGCTTTTTGCCACAATGACATCCCGCAGAGAGCACTAGCAGAAATCCTGTCCCTGAGCACTGTCTCTGCTGAGCCTTCTGTCTGTGCTGAGACCTGGCCATGCTTGGAGGTGCAGGTGACAGACAGCACGTGCCACCCTGCCTGGGCTGTCACATCACCCTCTGGCCCAGCACGCAGCTGCAGCCCCCCCTGGGCAGTTGTGGTAGCAGCAGCAGCAGCCTCGCACAGTCTGGGATGCTCACAGCTCGGCTGCCCTGCTCACGCAGCCTGCAGCTTTCCTCTCCTGTTGCACAGCGTGCGTGCTTTCCTTCCATTCCTAGCTGCTGCCTTGGTTAAAATAAACCACAGGGTCCTCACTACTGAGTGTTAGGAGGGGAAGAAAAACCTAAGTGCACAACAGAAGAGTATGCAACAAGTCAAAACAGATGGCAAGGTAAAACCCAGCTTTTGAATCACGTGTTTACTTGCGGCAAGCCAAGCTCCTTGTGCCTGGCATTTGGGGCTGGCTGTGCTGTGTTTCACTGGCACGCTCACACCTCTGGAGAGCTGTGGCATCTCTCTCAGCCTGACAAATACTTTGGAGGATTCTTGTGCACGAGGAAAAGCCAAAGTAGGTGGTTTTTATAGGCAGCCTGCTTCATAGGGGGTCTGGCCTGAGCTGCAGGAAGGCTGGGAGCCCAGTAGCCCTGGCTGGAGTAGGGTGCTGTGCCCTGCTGGCCTTGGCACTGTCTCCTTCAGGAGAGGGCTGGGGCACAGGACCCGCTGTCATCCCAGCAGAGCAGGCCTGGTGGCAGCTCGCTACACACCTCTCTGTCCTTCTCCTGGACAACGGATGTGCTGGCAGCCCCAAAACTGCTGTCTGACCTGGGCTGCAATGTGGTTGCACGGATCTGGCATGGTTCTGCTAAGAGCTGCTGTTGTGCCAAGAGACGGACAAAAGTAAAGCAGGCAAGATAAGATAAGCGAAAATAGAGAGGCCTAAAGTTGCCAAGATTGTAACAGCTGAGTGAAGAAGTGTGAAGAACCTTGCCCTGGCTCGGGGTGCCGGCACCTGGTGCTTTGTGTTCAGCCCTTGCACAGGTGCGGGCGGTTCAGAGGAGGGCAAAGGGGAGGCAGGCTGTGAGGGAAGCTGGTGGCCGTGCTGCTCAGCCGGCAGCGCTTGGCCGAGCGGGATTAATGGGAGGCAATGTCCTGCGCTGCGGGAAAGCCGGGCTGCGGAGACATCGGCACTTCTGTGCTGACGGGAGGAGGACCTTGCAGGGAATTGCGACCAAGGCGCAAACAACTCTTCATTAATGTGAAACTTGGCACCGCCCAGCTCTTACCCCTGACAGCGGTACCGACAGCCAAGCAAAACGCTGCGTTCTCAGCGCTGAAGGCTGGCTTTTCCTATTAAAGCACGAGGAGCTGCTTACTCCCGCAGCACGCCGAGGACCGTCCCTGGCGGTGCCCCGCTCGCTGACCCCCCTTCCACACAGCGGCCCGGCAGCCCATCATCCGCTCGCAATTAACGCGCGGCGACGCAGCGCGGCTGTAGCTTTAAAGCGGGTGGAAGAGAGCGGTGCCAGGTCCGGCCCCGCCGCACAGCCCTCGCCTCTCGGCCCGCCATGGGGAGCCGCGCGATCTTCGTCTTCCTCGCCCTCCTCTCCCTCGCCTCTGCCCGCCGCAAGCTGCTGCTTTTCCTCCTCGACGGTTTCCGCTTCGACTACATCGACGACGCGGAGCTGGAGTCCCTGCCGGGCTTTCGGGACATCATCGGCATGGGAGTGAAGGTGGACTACATGACCCCCGACTTCCCCAGCCTCTCCTACCCCAACTACTACACGCTGATGACGGGTGAGTGATTCGCTGCCGCGATGCTCCGCGCAGAGGCGGAGGGTATCTCGCCTACCTTTCCGTATGCAGGGCTTGTGGGTGCCCCCGTCGTGCTGTTAGCCGGGAGCCTAAACGTACGGAGCTTAGTGCTGCTGTTGTAGGTGAGAGGATAACCAGAGCTGTCCCGAGCCGGGAACGCCGCTCGGAGAGGGTTTTACTGCGATGCGGGGCTCCCCTCGCCTGCTGCGCTCTGAACGCAGAAATACTCAGAAAGTAGTGAGCACGGGGCTCTCAGCCAGCTTTCAGTCAATAAAAAGGCACGTATAGTGAGGGGAGAACTACGAGGAGGCTTGTCTTCAGCCGGCAGGAGTTCAGAACTTTCTGAACTTCAGAAAGTTCAGCGTTGTACTTCTTTTTAGACTTCTTGCTGTCACTGCTTCCTGCCCTGACTTTGCTCTGAGTCCTTGCAGCAGCCAAACAGACAGCCATCAGGGAGCTTCGCTACTGCTCCCCTCCTGGCTCCTTTCTTCTGAGTACTCAAAGTGGGAGAAGAGACACAATACTCCCAAAGCCATTTCCTTTTAACCTAAACAGGGCAAAACATCACAGAGGCACTAGGAAGATATGGAGTGCAGTTGCACCATCCCTATCAGATAAAGGCACCCTGAAGCCAAAATCTAAGTACATAAAGAGCCAGAAAAGTTTTTCTGGAGTTTCAGATCAGATCCTTTCTCTGTGGTTATTTGACAAACAGGGCCTTTGAGCTATCTGGGAACAGTGAGAAAATCCAATACCTCCTGGGTTGGTGGCATCTTCTGCTGCCTGCAGAACAATGCACAGCCCAGCAGTCTGTATGCTGCTTGCTGGGAGGGCAAAGAGATGCCATTGTAAGGCAGGACCTGACATCAGTGGTGCCCAGCTTGTTTTGAAACCGCTTAACTCCCTCCTCCCCATCTTGTAAGGAATGCCTGTCAGTGCTCATTTCAACTATGAATTAAAAAAAAAAGAAAAAAGAAAAAAAAAAGTAGAAAACTGTTAATTTAAGTCTGCCACTCCACTGTGGAGCATTTCCTTTAGGTGATGCATAACACTTCTTATTTGTGAAAACCCTTTGGATGAAGTCACTAAGGGGAACAGGGAGCAGCTGCTTTCTCTCCTTACCACACTTTGTCATCACACCAGTTAAGTGCATGTGTGTGAAGTGAAGTCCACCATCAGCCCTTTGAAGGGGTTAGTACTCACAAAGGGGTTTTGGTTTAGGCAATGAAGCATGCCTACCAAACTTGTTATGTTCCAGGGTACCAGTTTCTAGTGTGAAGTCATGAGAGAGAGCTCTGTCTAACACACTGTCTGAAGTCTCCTGACCTTCACAACAGGGCTCTCCACGCAAATAGAAATGACCTGCAAACAGTAATTAACATTTGTGGTGCATGAGCAACAGCACTGTTAAACAGTCAGCAAGAAATGAGGACTGGATTTAGGTGACAAACAAGCCCAGAGGAAGATCTGAGACTGTTCCTGAGCACTCAGAGTGTAGGTGTATGTTTCATAGAATCACAGAATCTTTTGAGTTGGAAGGGACCACTAAAGGCCATCTGGTCCAACTCCTTGCACTGAACAGGGACACCTACAGCTCCATCAGATGCTCAGAGCCCCTCCAGCTCGACCTTGGCTGTCTCCAAGGATGGGGCATCCACGACTTCTCTGGGCAACCTGTGCCAGTGCCTCACCACCCTTAGTGTAAAACACTTCTTCCTTATATCCAATCGAAATCTCCTTTCTTCTAGTGTGGAACCATTTCCCCTTGTTCTGTCACAGCAGACCCTGCTAAAGAGCCTTCTCTTCTCCATGCTGCACAGCCTCAACTCTCTCAGTCTGTCCCCATAAGGAGGTGCTCCGTCCCTTGGATCATTTCTGTGGCCCTTCTCTGGGTGTGCTCCAACACATCCACATCTCTCCTGTATGAGAACCCCTATCTGGACACATTACTCCAGGTGAGGTCTCACAGCGCAGAGGAGCAGGATCGCTCCCTGACCTGCTGGCCTCTGTTGATGCAGCCCAAGACACAGTTGGCTTTCTGGGCTGTGAAGACGCATGGCTGGCTGATGTTAAGATGCTGTCTGCCCATACCTATAGGTATGAGTGGACATACCCATACCCTTTTTATCAGGTTTAGGAGGTGCTGAGTCAGAAGGTAGATGTAGTGCTGCTGGTGGGGGTGAAGCTGTATGCTCAGTCCAGGCATGTTCAATCTGATCTCACATCGGACACTGCAATTTGTCCATCTGCACTGTAAGGGTGCCTGTAACTGACTTTTCTTCCCTTAGAAACTGGCACATGCAGGACTTAAATGTTACTAGTTTGTTCTGGGAAATCACGGACTACGAGGTCAGTCTATTCTGTACGTCTTGTCCTGAGCTGCTGTATCACGAGTTAAGAAATTTATTTCCAACCTTCAAATTGCTGTATCTTAGCATTTCTAAGAGTGCTTTCATAGTTCATAGGCTTATATTCAGTAAATCAGAAACATCTTGAGAAACACCTGCACGTTCCCACCCCCATTTGCTCCTTACATCCCACCTCTCGCTCTGAGCACTCTTCTTTCCCTGTGCATTCACAAGCCTGTGAGGAACCACAACCACACAGGCATGCTCACAGCCCTACTCTGGGCTCACTGTGAACCTAGGCATGAGGATACTGCAGCTGAGGTGCATTTCTCCTGCCATTCTCACGAGCAAGGCCTCTCCTTTCTGTGCTTTGCCCTTCACTAAGTGTCTGGGTGAGCTTTATGCATCTGGAGGGGAGTGGTTCAAACCAGAAAAGCATTTAGGTTGGAAAAGACCTTCAGGATTACCAAGCCTAACTGTCAGTCTACCAAGGGAGAGTTCTCTGAGCTTTAGCAAAAGATGGTCTAACCAAAACTGATGATGAAGAGGCATGGATCTGAAAAGTGCTAACAGGCAACATGAAACACACCCTGTTTTGCTGCCAATACTTACTAGCTGCAGTGGGAGAGCACACAGCTTAGGTAATGCGTTACAAAAAGTCTTGGTGAAAGAACTGGTTAAAGGTTGAGAAGTGTGGAATGGAGATGACTTTCCATGATCATGCCACACTGCATGACGATGATGGGAAAGCTAATTGAAAACCTATGGTGGTGAAATGGAGGATTATGAGTTGCTAAAACCAATGCATTCAGGGAATGATGGGGTAGGATGACAGCCATCAGGCTGAAATGTGACCAGGCTACAGCCAGAGGTTTTGGCTGTTAAGTGCAATAAGCCATAGAGCCCTGCCAGAGGTGGGACTGCTCATTATATAGACAGAGTAAACAGAAGAAGATCTTTACTGCTAATCCTCAAATTTGAGTCATTCAAAGACAATAGCATTCCACGTTGACCCTCCTCATACTAAATTAGTTCTTCCCCTAATTCTTCTGCTGCTAGTCTAGATCCTACCTGATGTCCTAACTTGCCGTTCTCCATATCTGATATTGCAGCTTGATGGTTTTTGGTTTTGTTTTGTTTTTTTTTCCTTTTTTTTCCCACTATCACAGAGTTCTGTGATTGCAGACAAGAAATTAGCACAGGCAGGAAGGCACTCTGGCAACAGAAACATCCTTGTTGTGGGCAAATACCCTTTGAATCAGTGAGCAAAGCTGTGAATAAAAATACTATAGAAAAAAAATGATGCCTTAGAGCAAGAAGTTTTCAAGGCAAATTTTATAAAATGACAGAAGCTCTCCAGATACTTGATCCCCTTCTACAAGTTTAATGGCACTCTGAAATTGTGTAAACTAGAATCTTTGACTTTCTAAATCTGGTATCACTGAGTAAGCTGGAAGACAGTTCTGGTGCTCACGTGGCCTGCAATCCAAGTATATGCAAATGTGCTCACTGGGGAGAAGCGGGGTTGTGTTAGTGATGGAAAGCATCACTTAAATGGTGAAATAGGCAAAAAATATCACTGATGCTGTGTTGGAGGGAGCTCTGTGGGACTAGAAGTGGGTTTGGCCACAGGGGGAAGAAGGAACCCAGATTTGCCCATCCAAAAGGCTCACTTAGTCACACGTGTTGTTTTGTTTTGCAAAGAAAGGAGTTAAGATCACAAGCCACCTCAGGATCTTATCCTATGGAAAGTGCTTAGTGCTTCCCTTTCTCTGTCTTGGCATGGTTCTGCCGGGAGGTTTCCTGCCAAAGTAAATGGAAAATCTGAGGTCTCCATTCACAATGGGAGTCATATGGGGAGCTGTGCATGCCCTTTCTCAGGAGAAAAGTTGCTTACGTTGCAGAGCTTTGGAGACAGATACAGGCAGTTGGTCCTGTTGGGGCACCCCAGCCGTGCAGTCGGTCTGGCATGGCTGAGGCCAGGCCTTCACCATCTGCAGGGTCCCTTTGTATCGAGCCCCAGCCGCTGCAAACATCAGCACTGCATCTAGGGGCTGGGGCAGGATTCATTTCCTGAGATCCCAACAACAAATGCAAGCCTTTCTGGTGGCTGTGGGCCTCTTGGCCTTTATGGGCAGGGTGGAGGAAGTGGAGGGAGGTCCTGATGGTGGAAATGAGTGCACAGAGAGCAGAGCGTGAGCAGCATCCATGCCTCTCTTCTGAGAAGTCCGTTCTTGCAAGGAGGCTGCAAGGCCCCGTGGATCATGTGAGATGGAGGAGGAGGTGGAGCAGAGGGCATCTCAGGTCTTCTGAACCTCATGTTGAGGTCCATGGTCTTCACAGAGCTGTTCCACTGCTGCCATAGCTCAATGTACTCCCATTTTCCCCCTAGTACATCCTGTTGAACACTGTGCTTCTGGTGTGCCATGCAGACTGCTCACCCTCACATGCGCACATTTATCCTTTAGTGGTCTCCTGGCTTACAGCATGGCACTGCAGGCCTAACATCCACACGGTACCTGCAGGGAGCCCTGTCTGGTGCTTTCTCCAGATAGCACAAGTCATGGCTGTGCAGCACAGATGGAGTATAGGGATTGCCATGCTTAATTATTAACTGTCACCACTGGGAATGTGCCCTTTGAGCTCTGTCAGCAGGGAATGTGGCCAGCACCAGCAAAATGTGAACACAGCCACTACCCCACCACAGCACTCTCTGGGAGCTGAGAAAGTATGCGTTTCACTTTGGGACCTGTTTTTTTCTTGCTTTCAAACTGCAGAGCTACATATACTGGTGTAGTGGTCAGTATTGCAGTGCTCAAACCAGCATGACTCTCATTTTTGCTGGTGATGGTTTCAATGGATGTTGTTTTTCTGCTGTCAGGTTAAACAGAACCTGAGCTCCAGCTTGGTCCCAGAAAGCATGAGAATATCTTCTGTTCATCACCTAAGCAAGCTCTTACACAAGCCAAAGACAAGAGAAGTTTGAAGAGCCTAGTTTTTATGTTTTTGGTTTTTTTTTCTTTAGAGCTTGCTTCATTAAAATCTATCCCTCTCTAATGGTGCAGAACCCAGCAGTTCTGCACAATGCTGTGCTCCAATCTACAAGCTTAGAACTGTGGCTGCTGAGGCACGGGAGTTGCAGATCAATGAATCCCCTTTAGAAATAAATAAATGCTGCATGTAGCAGATTTTTCTGTGTATTTTGGTGTGAACTTACTTGTATGTCAAGTTTTGCTTGACATAGGCTAAAGTGTTTCAGCTTTGGATCAGTACGTTACTGAAGGCCATTAAAAAATGGAAAGGCATTGCCAACAGGCTCTTCTGGGAGCATAAATAGTCTGATCACATCCTGCACGGACAGTTTTTGCCTGGGGACTTGCAGGTGGTAGGGCCATTTCATCAGGATAAGGGCTCCCACTGATTTCTCATGGACTAATCACTCATCTCTGGACTAGTGTGATTCTGGGGTTAGACAGCAATGATATGAGACATCATTCAATTCCACACACTGCCATGGTAGCTTGGGAGGTCTCTTCTACTCCACTGTAGAAACTTACAGGACTTGTGCACAGGGTTTTCATGGAGGAACTCAATTCCTTTTCCTGGCTCTCTTCCAGAAGGATACAGCAGTTATAGTCCTAGGAACTGTATGTTCTTTCTTTTTCTCTGTTAATTGAGGAAGGGTTGTTCTTTTACTGCAACTGCAGTGACTTTAACTCATGACATCTGTCCACTGCATTTGAGTTTTGCCCTGTTTCTTCTTTTGAAATTCTAAAGTTAATATTTGAATACAGAGGAAAGTAGCAGTAATGGAATCAATAATAAACTCAGCATGCTATGGTGACCATGTAGCAAAATGTTACTATTTTGACAATTGTTAAAAAGAGGATCACCAGAGGTAATTTTCTCAGGCTGGGGGAAATAAATTACAGCAAAGAATGTAAAAAAAAAAAAAAAAAAAAAAAAAAAAACTTGGGCTGCACGTGTGGCTCAAAAGAAATTTGAGAAATAACCTTAATTCCACGTATAAGTGTCTTCAGAGTAGAAATCCTAGCTATTGCAAGGCTTTTTAATCTAGTGAGTGAGGCATGAAAGTGCCGTGGCTGAAGATTAACACAGGTCAAAAATCAAATTAAAGAGTAGGCATGGTGTTTCTTGATGATGAATACTGGGATGAGCAATGCAAGGAAGAGATTGATTAGTTGGTTACTGATGTCTTACAAAGAAATCTGAGGTCTGCCTGGCACACCATCTCCAGACAAGCAGAGGGGAATGGCTCTGCGCAGCGTTATATTGTCCTGTCTGCTCATCTGGTGTTCCCTCCTGGCCCTGTGAGTCTGTAAACTTAAATATTTATATCATCCCTTAAAATAAGGTACAGTTAGTTTAGATCTTTCTATGCTTTATATTGTGTACATTGCAATTATTTGTTGCTGGAGAGGTTCTCCAAGAGCACAACTAGCAGCATATAGAAGTGCTTTGGAGTCTAGCATGCACTGCAGGTGTTTCCAAAACAGCAACTGAATCATATTTCTCTTAAAACACTGAAAACTGCTGCCTTACAGTGTTGTAGGTATCTTTTTTGTGTAAAAAGAGTTGGAAGAATGAACTCATCTAATGTGGTGTTCAGGAGGATACTGTCCTCTGTATTACTGCACACACATAATGAAACTTTGCAACAACGCTGCAAAGAACAATCTCTGTTCTGTTCCTTAAAGAGGTGAGCCAACTGACAGTAGACCTCAAATCCTATAGGGAGCTGACATCAGTAGCAGCTGGAGCTCATTGTTTTTGTATGAAAGCTGTACTGTGCATCAAACAGATGTGTGACCTCCCAGCTTCAGCCCAACCTGCAGGTTTCTGGGGCTGGCACCAGTTGCTGGCTCTGCAGGTTGCTATATGGCTGGGAGTACGTGGGCTTCAAGAAGCTGAAGAGATGAGGCTGTCCTCTAAGAAACTTGCATTTTTGAGGCACTACAGAGGCTTTCTACTAGTGTTTTTTTAGATTTACGGTGAAGTAAGTTCTTGGCAGCCTGAGAAGGACAGATTACTTCCCCTCCAGTCCACCAGTTTTCCTAAATTAAGCCTGTTTGTTTTAATATGGTGTATAATAGGAAGGAGAAGCCCGTTTGTTTTAATGTGGTGTATAATAGGAAGGAGGTTTTCAAGATCCATTTCAAGGTCACGTGTACACTAAATATACAAAGTCCTCTGCTTTTTTAAAACAAGCATCCTGAGGTTATTTCAGTTCTGCTCGCCATGCTTGTTCTCACGGTAATCGATGTCTGTAATCTGGATCCTTGAAATGCCATGAATCACCAGGTAATGATGGTGGTGTCTCACAGATACTTAGTTGTTGCTTTTTAAGATGAGGAAATAATTATCTTCCAGTACAACTTAATCTCTAACATTTCTTTTTCCATTTTTATTAACTCTTACTGTACTGTATCTTCTGACAGTGATAAGGCAGCTTTCAGCCAATACATACCAGTGTCTTGTAATATAAAGTTGCCCAAGTACTCTGAGTGTGCAGTAAGAGGGCTTAAAAATGTCTAATGCAATGATTGCTGGCCAAGAGTCAAAAACAAAGCATGTTCATGTTTTTAAAAACCACAACAAAAACAACAAACAATAATGGAAATTAAAAGTAGTATGTAAAGGTTTTAGCCTATTTCTGACTTGTATGAGGAAAACCAATGTGGACCATGGATTATTTCAAAGAGGAGAGGGGGACCCTTCAAATGAATAAGCTGGAAGGACCCCACCCTGGTTGTACATCTGGACCTTCTGGGCCGATCTCCTGTGGGTCTGTGGCTTGCAGCTAAGGTATATGACAGGAGTAGAGGGCTTCTTGGGTGGTTTTGGTGACAAAAAGAGCCTCAGGTAAGCAAGTACCTGGTTTAGCAGGACAGCATGGAGTGAGGATGGAGAGGGCTGCTTGTGCTGGCTATGTCCTGCCTGATTCTCTCACTCCTTGCCAGTGTGGAGCTTTTAGGTCCAAGGATGGTGGCCTTACTCTTTATTATTTTTCCCATATTCTGAGAACTGTTACCCTGTTTTCTTAAGTACCAGCACTGAGCAATGCACGCACTAGATGAAGCAGAGGACAAGTGTGAGTTTCCCAAAATTTCTTATGTGTTTTCAGATCACACTTTTATTCTTTCCTGTTTACAGACTGTGGTACTGAGGCTGCGTGTGGGCAGATGTCTTAAAATAGTCTCAGACCTGGCAGATGTTGTATGCAGAGAAGCCAAACCTCAGCCCGACACATGGCACCTCTGTGGCTGCTGCTACAGTGAGTTGTTTGGGCTGGGAGAGTCCCTTCTTCTGGGCGCAGGTCCCTAAAAGTTGGCAGACTCCAGCTGAGCTAACTAAATGTTCTTTCCATACCATTCATGCTTCCAGTGGCATCTTTTCAGCTGACTTGCTGAGTGAGCAGGTGGTAACAGGGATGTGTTGCTGGTGGCATCCTTCTGCTGGAGAATGCGGGTCTGATGGTGCTCTTTTTATTCTCCTTCTCCGAAGGTCGCCACTGTGAGGTTCATCAGATGATTGGAAACTACATGTGGGACCCGAAGACAAACGTTTCTTTTGATATTGGTGTGAATAAAGAAAGCCTCCTACCTCTCTGGTGGAATGGATCAGAGCCTTTGTGGGTCACAATGATGAAAGAAAAAAAGAACGTTTTCATGTACTACTGGCCAGGTTAGTATGTCAAAAATTAATACTAGTTATTGATGTATCTTTAAGTACTCCATTCTCCATAGGGTGGCTTTTTCATACACTACAATTCTGAAATTCAGATAAGAATACTTTACTAATCACTTATGGAAATGAATTCTCTTTTCTAAGCCATAGGCAGATTACAGATTGCCCATGGCTTAGAAAAGAAAATGACTAAGGTGTTACAAGGGAGTAATATTTCATCAAAGATTACCTTTAGGGCCATTGTTGGCTTGCAGAGCATCTCCTTCTTCCCCAGCTGCTCCTGCCTTCAGCACAGTAGGGCTACAGGTGGACTGAATGGTTCACAGGGCAATGCCATAGGCATATCACTGATCGAAGCTAAACATCCTCTCCCAACGTTTATTTGTTTTTAATCTGAAATGTAGTAGCTGAGAGCTGAAGGCTATCAACTTGTATTACAAAGGCAGCAAAATCCCCAGTGGAAAGCAAAGCATTTTTTGGTGAGCAGGAGTGAGCACCATTATCTTCTTCATCACTAGCTCTCCTGAGAGCAGTTTCTCCAAGTATGAGCCATTAATTTGGAGGGACTTGGCCTTTCCATTCCTGGTATGTTGGGTACTGGACTACTGAAATCACTAGGGGCTCCCAGCCAGCCCATATCCGCCATCTCAGTGTACTCTCTCCAGGAAAAGGGCCACAGTTTTAGGAATGGGAAGGAGGAGCAAACCAAGATGAAGGAGGTTGAAAAGATAGCCAGAGAGAAAAGCTCTGAAAGTGGCAATATTGCCTTGTGTTCTCAAAGGATTGGAATTGCAGAGTAGATAGAATATGAATATCCAACCTTTTGGCCTGCCTGGGCCGCACTGAGCAAAGAGGAACTGTCTTGGGCTGAACATACAGTTGCTCCAAAAGTAATACCTCCTATTTATTTCTGTAGAAACTACAACCACTACAAAGAGCACAGTAACACTATTTGGTAAAGGAAACTCCCGATTCCAAAACACTCTTTTTCAACATAGCCACCACCATCAGCTGTGCTTTTTCACCAGCGATGAACAAGAGCTGCTTGCTGTGCTCACAGCAATCTTCACCAGTGGAGTGAAGATTATGAACTACTATCACTATTGCCATTGCTAAAACACACCACTCACTGCCTCACTGTGCTCACACCCACTGTTTGGTCTCCAGAAACATCGAGAAAGCATCAATGAATGGCTTTTTTTCCATACGGAGGAATTCAATGACACTCTTTTGCTTTGTATGCACTTCCATGTCAGGCACCATTTTGTCAGAGTGCCTATCTGCTGCCATCTGTCTTATGACAACAACACGTAAAAGAATACTGGTGGGAAGGTTCAACCTCTACTGCCATACCACCAGCATTTGTCTCATCATAAGCTAATGTAATAAAACAGGAGGCATTACTTTCAGAGCAACCCTCATAAAACATACAATATAATTAATGAAGTAGCAAAACATTTTGTTTTTAACATTTTTCTTTAAATATTAAAAAAGTGAGGAATAAAATCAGTAGGATGTATGAACTTGTTGCTGTGAAACTAACGCGTCAGGTGGGTTTGATGGTGGCAGCTGCAATTCTTAGTGAGATCTCAAGGTGTTTGATATTTTTGATGAAGTTTTACTCCTCCTGTGCTTCATCCTTGACAATTTTTCACAAATGTGCGTACTGCCAAGGGTGATGACATGAGTAAGGTGTGGTTGTGAAGGGAGGGATATTTCTCTCTGGTAAGAGTGCTTATGAAAGTCTGGTGAAGAGACGTGATCAGATTTTTGAGTTGAATATCTGATTGCAAGTCTATACGTTACATTTGAAAGTTTGCAGGTCATCTATTTATATCATCTGAAAATGATGTCACAAACATAAATTGATTACTTTTTTGGCAATCCTGAAACCTGTTCTCAAACTCCTTTATCGGAACAAAAAGCCTGGTGCATGTTCTTTGCTGTTTGTTAGCAGGAACAGCAGGATAGTGCCAAATTCATTGTACTTTGTTCTGCAAGATGCTATTTTTTCTCTAGATAGCAGTCATTGAAGACAGTGACCCAAACAAGAGTGATCAAATGTAATGGAGATGTATTTAAATGCCAGAGAGCTAATTCCCAGGGCCAACTTACTTCACTACCATTTCCTCATCAGTGCCACTTCCAAGCTTTGCAAATTTGGAACCCAAAATCTGCTGCTTCATATCTTTCCCCCTCTTCCACTGGTGTGCACATTCAGTGCTTAGACAAAGAAAATCTAAACCCCAGAACAAGGGGACACCAAGCAATGGGTTGTTGAATGTGAACGTTCATTTAATCACATCCACATCTGAGCGTAAACACAGCCAAGTGGGCAGAATTAATTTGGGCCATCCTAGACCTAGAAGCAGAGGATCCAAAACACCGCTGCACTGAGTGTCCCAGTGCTGTTTGTGCCAAAAGCTCTCATGGTAAGCATTTGGCTTTTGGGGACGTTTTTTATTTTTATTAATGGCAACAACAGTCTTGCTTCATAGATGAGCGTCGTGTGTTTATCAGGCATCATCTGTTCTTCAAGGCATTCCTGGGGAAAAAAGTTGTGTATCTTCTGAATGTTCGATCATTCAGAAAAACACAATAGCTAACATCATACTGAAGTTCATTTTTCAGCATTGTGTGCTTCAGTTGAAGTGCAGTGACATCTTTACTAAATGCTGAAATGAGAGAAAGGGAAAAATAAATCCAATCTTTTGTCATTTGAACACAACATTTTCCAGACCATGGAGCTAGTCTGGAAAGTTGTCAAAACTCTGTTATGACATGAAGTGTCCAACTGTTAAATCAATGTTTAGAAACACAATTTAAAATTGGCAGAGGCTCAAGTCTCCATGTCAGATAGAGCACATATATCACTGCAAAAGAATTCCTTATTCCTGCTCCAGAAGTTGAAGTTTTGAAATAAAGGTTTAATTTCCTTTACAAAACTATGCAGAAAGGTATTTAATGTTAAATCTCAGCACATACAACTCATCTATTTGTACTTGAACAAAGAAAAGTTTAACATTCCCTTTGTCTGGCTCCAAATGCTTTCAAATATCCTTTCCCATTATATTTAAATGAAAAAATTTACCATCTGTCCTAGCCTCTACCAAGATACAATGCAATTTCTAGAGGGTCTTCAGAGCCAGTACTTTGGAATTTTAACAAGCCTGAACGTCACAAATCTGATTTTAAGTTCTGTTTATTACAGAGGCAAAAAATCCACAACAAACCTAACCACAAAACCCCAAACAAACAAACAAAATAGAATACTGTCAATGAACTCCATGCTTTTTGTCCACTTCTTCTTTCTCACTTCTTCTTTCTCATTTACCACTGAAGAGGCTAAAACTTACCTCTAATTTTTGCTGCTTCTGTAGGCTCATATGTCACGTTCATCCCTTGACAATCTAGAAATAGCAAGGATATCAGAGCAACTAAAATAGTCCAGGTACCCAAGAAGTTGATGCTGTCAGTTAAAATTATTATGTGAGTAATTCTGGAGAACAGTATCTGAGAAAATTATAATCTAATGTCACTATCTGAAGAGGAAAATCAACCTATGAGTCACTGGTTATGAGCAACCATCCATCTAATCTAAAATTCTAGGCATCAGTTCTCAAGTTAGCTCTGACTGGCCTTGTGTTTCCAAACATGTCCTTACCAGAAGAATGGCTTTGTATCCAGTCTTTTCCAAGATTCAAGTGCCAGAGAAGAAACTGGCTGTGAAGTTCCAGTTCAGTCCTGAAATGCTGGCAAAACCAAAGAGGATTACTGCAGTGCCTCTAGTATATGAGGTGTCTAAAAGCTCGTGTTTTGCTGCTGGCAGCACCTAGCACATCATGCAGAAGAATGCATTTGAGCAACTAGATTTTACACCTCTGATTGTAAGAACTTCTTTGGCTGTAATTCCATCCAGGTAGATGTCGTACGAGGTGTGCAGCCATATTAATTACATGGGCATACTGATAGGTACGTGCTTAGCCAGAACTGAAGATGTAAAAGACTGGAATGACTGCTGTAGCAGAAGAAACTGGACTAGAGTTAGATCCTTTAAAAATCGGTCTCCCAGCATTTTAGCATGTAAATTGGATGTCCCTTCAAACTTGCTGGCTGTTTTGGCAGCATTCAAAAGCATCAGATTCCTATAGGTTGGCTGTCCAGTCACCAAAGGCCTGTTTTTAATGAGTCGTTGCCTAAACTGAGAGACATAGTATGGACAGCCTAAACCGAACAAAGCCAAAAGGTGTGGTATTTCATCTGTTGCAATACTACATCCCTTGCAATTGCCTGTTGTGACTCGCACTGCAACACCAGGTCTCTTGGTCAACGTATTTTGCAAGATGTTTTCTTTTTCCCTGTATCCCAGTATTGCATCTCAGCAATATGAGCTTCTGCAGGCTGAAGTGCATGACACAGACAATTTCTCTTCGCTGAATGTTTCAGTGCTCAAACCACTGCGAAATGTCTTGGAGAAGAGCTCTGCAATTTGCCCTAGTGCCCTCTCTAGACTTACACCTCCTGTGCAACCTTAATTCCTCCCAGCCAATGTATCAGCTAATGACAGTCCTTAAGCCTCTCTTTTTCATCCCAAAGGAAAGGCAAATTGACCTAAATGTAGGCAGATTCAGTGTACCATTTAGAGTTGCCTTTTTGACCCGATGGTATTGCTGTATACAAAGTACATTTTCCAAAAGATCTATTTTTTCTCTTGCGCCCCAGTAACCTACCAGTAAATACATAGCTCTGATGGGGAGCACTCTGGGGTTTTCTAAACATATTTTGCATGAATCCAGTGTTTCTGAAAGCTCTGTTCTTTTAAATATTAATGTTATTCATCAGCACAGGAACCAGAGAGCAAAAGGGCAGAAAACCACAGAAACAAGTTTTTGTGTGTTCAGGGCTGTGTTCTCCTGTAGGATTTGTTGCCACAAATTTCTGGACTGTATTTTGCAAGGAAGGCTGCAAGTTACCAAGAGAGTTAATTGGTTTATACTGTTTCAACAAGATCTCCTGGGAAACAGATTTAATAGTGGAGTGCCAGAATCACATAATAAAATACAGTTTATAGAGGATATTATGATGTAAGATGCAGTGTGTCTAAGTGGAAAATATTTGCCAACCTTCGAGGGAACATTATCTAAATCTACTATGTTGGAAGTCTGGAAATGAGGATATGTGGCCAGAGTAGTTAAGATGGAAACAAGCGAGTGATTTAGGTGGAATTGATAGGCCGTGAGGGCATCGGAGTTTTGTGTCCTGGGAACGTCATGCCTTCCTTTTAAAGAGGGAAATAAAAGGATCCAGTGTTCCATTTGCTGCAAGCACTCATCCAGCAAACCTCTCTCCCCTTTTCCGTTCCCAACTGCAAAGTTTCCAGCATGGAAGGTGTATGGTAAGTAATGTCATAGGGAATTTACTGGAATAACAGCCTGTGGGGTCTGTAATGAAGGTGAAACTGCAGAACTTACCACATTTTTTCATTCGTAGGTTGTGAGGTTGAAATCCTTGGAGTCAGACCAAGTTATTGCCGCGAATACTTCAGCGTCCCAACAGACCAAAACTTTGCGGATGCTATCAGCGATGCTCTCGAGGCTCTCCGGTACGTCATTAAAGTTCTGCAGAGGGTTCTTTCCTTTCCTAAAAGTGAATATTTGGGTTTACTATGAGCTCTAGGGCAATTTTCAGGATTAGCTCCCACATAGGAAGATGAGGTTCAAGAGTAGATTATAATGCTGTTGTAGAAACATGATCGTATACAGGAACAGAGTTACGTTAAGGTCAGAGGGAAACACATGTTCCTTTTTATTGTGAGTAGGTTACAGCACAGAGCAGACAACCTGACTTATTGTTCCAAACAACTTCAGTATCAGGCTGTGAGAATCTCTCCTCTGACCTGCAGTAGCAGACTTTGAAATGCAAAGATTTAGAGAGCACTTTTAAGACATTCAGCTCTGGTCCCTTGTTTACAAGAACAGTGTTTTGGCTCCTTCTTCATTTTAAAACATCTGAGGCACAATTCTTTTGGATTAGGCACTGATTCTGTGTAAATATGAGTACTATGATAAGACATCTCTCAGCTGGCTCTTAGGAAAGCAGCATGTTCCACACCCAGCATTCCAGTTGCACCATCTCTTATCCAAAGGTTAACAAGGAAGAATTCCTTGTAGCTTGTAAAATTACATGTGTTGAGACTACATGTGTGTAGCCTAAGCTTTATCTTTTCTTCCTCATTTAAAACCTTGGAACCACCATCACCTATACAATTGAATCTGAAAAGTCTAGTATGCAAATGCTGAGGGTTAGTTGTCCTTGACAGAAAGGCTTCAAAATGATGGGAGAATTGCTGGGGATGTTGCTTCCAGCTGCATGCCGGACCCTGCTGCACAGATGCTTGCAAATTAATGCCATTTACAGCAGAAGGCTTAGAGGGAAGCTGTCTCAGAACACATAAAAATCCACTGAAAATGTTTCAATAGCTATTTCACCTGGAGTCAAAAGGCTATTTGCTGCAGCTGGCAGTGAGAAGAGCAGGGACATGCAAGTGTGGGCAGGGCAGCTTGCAAAAGGTGAGAGCCAGCCTTCCTTCAGGAAGAGGGCAAATCTATGTTACCGTGTTGTCTGCAGCAAGCTTCCCCAAGGGCCCAAATCCTACAGATACTGCAGGAGCTGAGGGTGGTTTGGTCTCTGAACTGTTTCTTTTTTCCTAAAGCCTCCCTTATGTCTCTTCCCTATCTAGAACTTCAGGGCTGTTTCCATGAAGGTTGTGTGGTGCCTGTAAAGGTTGTAAATAAAATAAAACCCTTTTTGGTACAATTAGAGATGCTGTTCAGCTTTCCTTAGCAAGTTTTCCATATCTATTTTTTCTGAAATTTACTGATGATAAGAGAATACAGGACTAACATACATTGAAGTTGTGGGTAAGGTTCAACGTGCATCACTAGAGCACTGAGCCCTCACTGAGAAATCTCACCATGGTCTAAGAAAAACCGTTTGTTTTATTCAGTCAAGATTTTTCTTAGTTTTTGTCTAGATCAATTGGTCTTTTAGTTGCAAGTGAGAAGCCAAAGCAGTTTCATCAGTGAAATAACAGGCACTGCTGCAGAAGAAAACTGTTTAAAGAAATTCAGTGAGGGTATACCCAGCACAGAAGTTACAGGGTTAAGTTTCAGAAATTAATTTGTGCCTAAGATAGATGGAAAGTAACAATAAAAATGAAATTGAGTGTGCTGAGGGCTGCTTCTTCTGAATGGTTTTAAAACCATGTAGGATGACTGACAGAGAGGTTCCCACCAAGGCAGAGACATTCAGCTGCCTACAGGACTGCTCTTCTGCAAACTCACAAATGTAAATGATAGGTCCTAATTTCATTCAGTCAGTCCTTCACCTTCATTTTTTGTCTTCTGCCTCACTCATCAGCAGTGTAGCATCTTTAATAAGAGAACCCAGGCCTGTTAGATCATCACACAAAATCTTCTTGTAGGGATCCTGATCTGGATCAGGGCATATATTATGGATGGCACAACCTCTCACATATTAAGTACTGTAGAAAAAGACTGTGTTTGAACTTCTTGAACATAAATTTGTGATTTTATCCACACAGCTGCTCTCAGCAAGCTTTGCAGTGAACTGTAAGTGGTCATGAAAATATAATTAAGCACTGATGTATGTGCTACTAATTGGGCTGAGGGGCATTCAGTGCAAAAATGTGTGACCAACCAACCTTGTGCAACCCTGAAATCACTCTGGTTTTCCTCTCTTCATTGATGAGATCCCTGAACAAAAACTCCATCTAAAATCTCACCCCAAATTGCACTACATGGGTTTCTGTAGGGTCATGGAAGAGCCTGTCCTGAGTTGACTTAGGTGGTTTGGAAGCCCTCACACAGGAGAAAGCCAGAAGAATCACACTGTAATTAAACCATAATTTACTTATAGTTCCCACAATCCTTTTAAAAAGGGCACTGAGCACAGAAATCAGTATTTTCTCAGTCTGTCATTAAGTGACAAGCTGCCTTCCTAATCTGAAGACATAGCAGAGGGCTCCAGTGCTCTAAGTGCTGGTGAGGAGAACTATGTTAACTATTAGGAGAGGAAGGCTCCCAAACCACCCCCACACCCATCATCCTCTCCCTTCCCTCCAACTTCCAGCAATGGCAGCGCTGAAATGGCAGCTGTGTACTACGAGCGCATCGATGTGGAAGGCCACCACTATGGCCCCTGGTCTGAGCAGCGGAAGAGTGCTCTGAAGGAGGTGGACAAAGCCATGAGCAATATGATCACACAGATTAAGGTCAGTGGCATTGGAAAACCGAGTTCTGGATGCATTTTGCTTTTCTTTCTGCTGTGATCTGTTGCTCTGTAGTAATGACAGTGCCAGCATCTGCTGTTCACCATGCGTGTGCCCCAGAATTACCTGTGCCTCTTCCCAAAGTGTATGTAATGTTGCTATTCCAACAGGAGTTGTTAGAGAAACCTTTTCATAGCTGGTAATTAATTGAGACCATAACACAGCCTTCAAAAAGCTTTAAAAACTGCTCTTTGTAACACTGTGAAGATCTTGTTTAATGCCTGTTAATTGGACATATTGGCAGTAAACTTTTATTTCCTCCGAAGGAGAGGCTGTTGATACCATGTGGAAGGTAAGACACCATTCCCCTGATTCACATTGTTGTAGATGGTGATATAATCCTCCTAGTGGATTGTTACCCCAATAGCCCCAGGAGGCCATAAACCAACCTACGTGTGGCTGCTTATAACTCATGTTGCTGGCTGGAATTTATAGTGGGCGAGTGAATCAGAAAAGCTCATTTTGTAAGGTTTATGAAATCTGACGATTAACTTTTATGGTAGTTTTTATGGTACCACTCAGAACTCTGTACATGAAGCTTTGCTTAAAAAAAAAAAAAGTTATTCAAATTATTTTGTGGTGAGAAAAGGAAGATAACAAGCTTTTGGGTAAATGTCAATTCTATGGATACTTCTGCTCTCTTTTCACAGTGCTAAGTACACATTAGAGTTCTCTGTGTGCTTCTGCAGCGAGAGGAATATATTTTTCCATTTTCACTAAATCATAAAAGCTGTAACACCAAGTGACTGTGTTTAGGAGAGGAAGTGGGGAAGACCTTTGCCACAGGTGGTACGGTGGTACTGTGGCAGCCATTTTGATCTATAGACAATGAATAGCTGGATAAAATCCCATTTAAGACTAACTGGGTCAACAAGTTCTGGGGGCTGAGATGTAGAATCTGGCTATTTGGTGGGGGGTTGAGAGTATTTTGTCAAGTTTCTCTCTGGTGCCAATCCTGTAGGTTCTCTCAGAGCAGCACGCGAGAGCAGCCAGGCACTGATATTGGTGATGGCCAAGTTCACTGCGGGATATTTTTGGCCATGCTACTTCTGATGCACTTCCACTAAAATCAAAGGGGGTCAAATGGGGTTTAAAATTTACCAGTGAGCACAGACAGTACGAAGCCTGGCTGTAATGACTGTCATGCACTCACTTCACAGAACAAGGGCCTTCAGCATGACGTCAATGTCCTCCTCTTTTCTGATCACGGGATGACGGACATCTCTTGGACAGACAAATTGATTGAGCTGAAAAACTACATCAATATGAGTGATACAATACAAATGAAGGACCGAGGTCCTGTTGTGAGCCTTTGGCCAGTTCCAGAGAAGCACACAGAGGTATGTGAAGCTTGTTGGTGCTGATCTATTTTATTTCATGTTTCCTTGGATCTTATGACACTTGTTTCTTTAGTATGGATGTACATCCAAATTTCGTCCTCAGAGATGTGGCTCTTCTCTATGGCCACTTTGATCCTGTGACTTTACACTCTTGTAACAAAGATTTCTAGAGGGAATTCACACCAGGCAAATTAAAAGCATAATGTTCCACTATTATTTGGCACAGACATGAGTTTTCAAAGCCCACCACTATTTGCTTCTGATAAATAACTAGCAGATTTTTTTCAAAATTTTATATATATTAATCAATCAATCAACTGACTCAGTAGCTGGGATTAGCAAAAAATCTGGAAGAGGTCAGGCATCTTTATTCCAGTGAACACCCTTAGAGTTAGAGATTGAGGAATCAGCTCATATAGACTAGAATTACCAAAAAAAAAAAAAAAAAGAGCTCATTTTTACAATATTCTCTTTGAAGAGTTTTGATGAATAAGTATGTTGGGTGAAATCCATCATTAAAACTCAAGGCTAGAACTACAGGATGTTGAGAGGCAAATTAAAACAATACAGAAAGAAATATGGAAACCACTTGAAAAGAATGAAAATGCAGCATCTGTAACGAATACATTTGTGAGTTATAGCTGAACCAGAATCCAGAGCTTGAGAAGTCGTTATTGCTGTCCTCAGAATGTAGACAAACGGATGTACAAGCAGAGAATTCTCACTCCAATTGAGAAATGTTGCTTTCTATAATGTATTTTAGCAAATTCCAATGCATTATCAGTCATGCAATTTATTGAAGAGAACATCTGCCAATTTTTGCACCCAAAGAGGCTCTCCAGGATTTGTACAGCTGGGATATTGTGAACATTTTAAATTAGTGCCAGGACTGATGGTTTTCTTAGAGGCATGTGTAAGTCTGTTGCTCAAAGTTCCTGCAGGGGATTACAGCACTGATAAAGTCTTCCTCTGCCTTAACTCAGCAATCTCTAGTTTTGTAGGCAAGACCTTCAAACAAAGGCAAGTGTAGGTAGCAACTTCACAGAGACACGGGATTTCATCCGACAAAGCTATTTAAGCACATGCTACTCTCTCATTAAATAGCCCAATATCCCCATCAAGAGTAAAATACAATGCTTCACATCATGGTTTTGTTTTCTTCTTCCTTCGTTTCTTCTTAGGACTTCTGACTGGAGTGCTGCCACTTCAAACAAAATTAAGTTGATTTTCATTTTCCTGAGAGTCAGATTCCATGATTTTAATTCACTTCAAAGAATCGTGCTCGGGAATTAGATTGTATCATAACCTAGAGGTATTACAGTTAAGAGTTATGCCACTCTGAATCACCAGAAGTCCTGGTGAGATAACAGGAGCACTCTCTAGTCCAAGCCATGGTGGGAAGATCAGGCTGAGGCCCAGCTTCCCAACCACTTATAGGGTGAGGAGTTTCAGCCTTGGGTGCGTGTCTGAAGCACCCCAGTTAGACAATGCAAATCTCCTGCATGTGTATAAATGCATCACAAATGCAGAGCAGATTTCACTAAAAGGCTAGCGAACTTTTCATTCTTGTTGAATCAAGCTATTTCTTCCTGAAGATGAGTTGAAGATTAGAAGAGTGACATAAAGATCTGGGGACTCCAATAAACATTTTCTCTATGGTATATGAACCTCTTTCGGTATTTTAAATATTTTTCTGAATAATTGAGATTTTCACCACTTTCTGTGATTTTATTCTAGACAGTGTGACTAATAATAATAGACTACTTGCACATCATTGTGCACCTTCAAAGCTGCAGGAATTAACTGATAAATCTCACATATCCTTATAAAGCAGATAACTAAGCACTATCAATCTCTTCGATAGGGATTGAGTGGTTGTGTAAGAAATACCAAGTGTGTTAATAGGAATTGTTCACTTCAGCACAAAGAGGGAACAAGCAGCAGACTGGGCAAAAGAGAATATTCCTTTCCCTCATCTGTACTGAGTCCACATCGAGCCTTCAAGCATTTCTCTTCACCATTTTGCTTATGTTTTCTTTTGATGGTTTGGTTTTCATTAATTTGTCTCTAGGTTTATGTACTCACATGCATATATCTGTGAGTGCGTGTATTGTAAGTATGCATAATGACCTGGTTTTCTATGTGTTTATGATCCAAGTTTTCAGAACCTCAAAAAACCTATATGGAGATTTTCCATAGCCATCACCTTTGGATTTGAAAAGTTCCAGTTTGAATGTCCTGATGATTTAAGGGGGGATTAGCCATTTAAAAAAATCAGGTGTTCTTATGGACCTATAGGTGTGCATATGCTCTTTATAGCCATGTGCCGTGCTAACATTTGTTTTCTTTGCAGATATATCAAAAATTGAAAGCTGTAGAACACATGAATGTTTACAACATACAGGATATTCCAGAGAGGTTTTTCTATAAAAAAGGAAAATTTGTGTCTCCTCTAACTCTTGTGGCTGAGGAGGGATGGTTCATAGTAGAGGTAAGGTACAGAAGCAAAATAGGTAGATATCAATGTGAAAAGGTACATGAACACAGTAAGAACATATCAGGGGAGATTCAGGTTGAAAGTTAGGAAAAACAGCTTCTCCAAAAGAGTGGTCAGGTGCTGGAGCAGGCTGCCCAGGGGGTGGTGGAATCACTGTCACGGGAGCTGTTCAAGAAACGTTTAGATATTATACTGAAGGACGTGCTTTAGTGGGAAATATTGGTGATAGGTGGACAGTTGGACTGGATGATCTTGGAAGTCTTTTCCAACCCTGGCGATTCTATGACTCTATGATCATTTTTTTTGCTGGACATTGAGTCAAAATATTACATCATTTAGTTATGCCGCCAGCAATGCTCACATCAAATATTGCTGTGAGCATAAGAAAGCCTAAGGGCATGACAGCTATGCTGAAGCTAGACAAAGTTAAATCATTAAGGTGGGTCCTTAAAATAGACTTTCCCGTTCTCCATCATTTGCCATTATAGTTTTGTTGATTTACTCCTCTTCTTTTCACCAATTCATCTGCCAGCTCTGCTCTGGCCAGATGTGAAAAGACTGTTCCCATTATTTAAGATCTTGAGATCTTACTACGCTTCCTTCAGCTCTACTTTCACTACCTTTTCTTCCACCAGCCCCCTGCTCACCAAATTCTGTCCTAAAAATGCCTCATTTCTCCCAAGCACCCTGGCCACAAGAAGGGTCAGATTGTGGGTTATCTAGAGATATATAGAGATATGTAGTGTGCACGTGGCAATTCTGAGAGCTTGTTAAGCAGAGAATCAATTAGATTTCTACATAAAGAAATTTGCATACCAACATATTACAATACATTCATCATCATAATAATAACAACAATTTTGTATTTGTATTGCTAAAGAATTCTGCTGCTGTTTCCCAGAGCAGGGACAAGCTGCCCTTCTGGGAGAATGGCACAGGGAAGAGAGAGGCCTGGCAGAACGGCTGGCACGGCTACGACAATGAGCTGATGGAGATGAGGGGCATCTTCCTCGCATATGGGCCAGGTACCATGCCATCATCCCCATCCATGCCAGGGACACGGCTGGGGCTGCTTCAGCTGGGCATTCCGCTGAGCAAATGGATAGTGAATGAAAACATCCAAAACAAAAGTTTTTGCCAATTATATATAAATTATTATAGATTGTAATTATCAAATATAACAATAGAAATCGTAATACATATTCCATTTAGCACCCCAGCCCCTTGACTAAGCCCCAGGAAGGGCAGAAGAGCCCTTGCCCCACATTTCAGCAGTGGAGCCCGCAGCTGCGCCCGCTGATGCCTCTCACTACTGCTCTTCCTGCAGATTTCAGATCCAACTACCGCGCGCCTCCCATCAGATCTGTGGATGTTTACAACGTCATGTGCAGCCTGGCAGGAGTGCAGCCACAGCCAAACAATGGCTCCTGGTCCAGGGTGGAGTGCATGCTGAAGAACACGGCTGTCCGCGTGCCACTCTGCACACGGAGCGGCTGTGTGCTGGCACTGACTCTGCTCTTGCTCTTCTGGTTGCTGTGATCCCCAAACAATGTCGGTCAGTGTTGCCAGCAACTTGATTCTTTTTTTTTTTTTTAATTTCTTCTTCCTTTTCCCTCACTCCCCCCCCACCCAAGAATTTCTTCATTTGAGTAATAGCTTCCTTACTAGCGTGCTGTCCTCATCCATCTGCTGTGCTGCCCAGGCGTGAATCTGACCACACCAGCTTTTACACCAGTTATAATGCAGAGCCAGTTTGTGTGCTGCTCTAAACACAGCCAGAAAAGCCGGTATTGCTGCTCTGAATTTACAGCACTGGTGACAGGAGCAGGATTCAGGCCAGCTATCAGCCACATTTTCTGGTGGGTGCATATGGAGACTCCTGGACATCAGACACAGCTTACCCAGCAAGTTTAACAGAGAGGCTGACCCTGGCTGCTAGTAGTGGGAAGCTCAGGCATAGAGAAAGACCTCGGTGCATTTACCTGAGCTCTTTCTGGTTTGTCCTTTACCCCAGCAAACCTCCACCTTCTCCTCACAAGGCCAGCCAGGCACAGCCTAAACAGACCAAAGAGCCATGCTCTTTGCTGAGCGATCTGAGTGCCAACAAAGGCGGATCAGGACGAGAGCAGTGAGAGCATCCTACCTATCTTAGCCTTTCCTCCTTCACTTTCCCTTAAAGCGAGCCCTGGCACTGCATGTCCTCAGGACTGGGATTGCATCAGGGAGAGCAGCTGGAGAGGGGGATGAAGAGGGAGAAGAGCGATGGAAATCCTTCACATTAAAAAGAGGAGGAACTTGTAATGGCACCTGGACACCTAGCACTCAGGACAAAGTACAGTGAGGAAGCCTGCCATTTAGCAGCCTCTCTGTTTTCCTTGGTGAAGATGATATCCACCTGCTTAGATGCTTTTTGTTTGTTTTTCTTTAACCCAATTGTGTTTCTGAAGGTTTTTTGACACCTCCTGCTTTTCTACCAGCTCCTGCTCTCTGCCATTAAAGCACTGTGGTAGGCTGCACACTCCCCTGATGTTTTTTTAGAGGTGGTGTTCTGCAGCAGGGAGAGGTTTACACGTATGCATCTCTTTCCATCTCTCCCTCTGTTAATCCTAGCTACTATTCCTACCTTGGATTACCAAGCCCAAAGAAAGTTGTAACAGTCAAGTTACGTACAGGAGGGGAGCATGGAGCTGCTCTCAGGGGCAGTGCACCTGAAGGGCAAGTCAAACGGATGATGTAATCCTGAAAACATCAACACAGCAGGTGCAGTAAATCCCTTGAAAAAACAATTTGCCCCTACTCTTTCACTCCAGTGCAGCCATGGATCTTCCCTGGGGCAGTGCTCAGTACAGGGCTGACAACGAAGCCAGCAGCACAGCTCTGTGAGCTCAGAAGATTAAAGCCACCAAATTGTTAAATTGCCCACTTGTCACAGCCCTCGGTGTTAAACATGGGATGTATACATACCGTGATGGGTCACGACAGAGGTGGTCTTTTCGCATCATTAAATTTCTGCTGTGAAATTAGCCACTCTAGAACAGAGCTGACAGGATTGATCCTGCAAAGGGTCCTTTCCTCCATGGGAGGCCGTGATCTTCTGCAACGCCCTCAGAGGAGCTCAGCGCTTCCCTGAAATACCTCTGAACCAAGAGCTTTCAATGAAAAACTGCCTTTGGAAGGATTTAGTTCCCTCTTTGTGCAAAATAAACCTCTAAGGCTTGTTACTCACATGGATCCAGAGTCAAGCACCATTCTGGTACAGTGAGTTTAAGGGTGAATGATTACACTATGAAAAAAAAAGCACAACAAATTAAACTTGACAAAAGACTTCTGTAATAGCTATAAAGATTTATGTAATGTGTTTTTTAAAGCTCAAGTGAACCATCAAATCAATTGGGAAAAAAAAGGGAGAAAATCAGTCTTTGTTATTAGACTGTTGAGTATAAAAGGCAATTTAGTGCTTTCTAAGCATTTGCAGTAGCTGTAAAACAAGCATCCAGTGTTCAGAGTTCCCTGTTGCTCTTTAATGAACCAGGCTCACTGAATTCACTGGAGCACATTTTTAAAGCAAGAAAATTATCAGTGTACACAAGATAACCAAATGACAAAATGGGAAAGTTTTGCTGCAAAACCAACAGGATACATACAGCGCATGCGGGTTCCTTCAGTCTGCAGTTTTAACTCTTGCTATAAAAATAATCCAGTATCCTCTTATGGAAAAAAAAATATCCTGAAAGTGTACAGCTGTATTCTGGTATGTCTCAGAACGTATTGGATCTGTAACAGAGAGATTGGATGGCAGACCTACAAGAAGCTCATTAGCTTCAGGAGTACTACAGTTGGTTATGTTGGAGAAGCGTGTCTTTCTTCCTCTGAAATTCTGTACCTCTGAATCAGTTCACATTCTCATTCAGTGTCTTCAGCCTGTTTTTCTGTACACTATGCAACTGAGGTGGGTGTATTTCTGAATGATGTTTTTGTACGACAACTGATTGTGAATGAGTGAATAATTCTGAGAATGCTGTTATAAAAATACACATCTTTTTGTAAATACTGTAAGATTTTTGAAAAAAAAAAGAAGCAGCATCCTTAACACCTTGCCTTTCTTGTTTGGTTGCTGCATCAGTGTGTGATAAGCAGTGTTTGAAGCTTTGTCTGATTAATCATCAGAAAGATGAATGATAACATTGTTTAGAAATGGCAAAGTTGTCAGCATTTGACTTAGGGACATTAAATACATCTCATGAGCTACTGTAGCTTGTATGTCCAGTCCTTTCCTCCAGACACATTTCAGTGTTTAACCTTTTGAAGAGGTGCTTTTTTTCCCATTTCTTGCGTCGGTTTACCTGCATTAATAGCACTGAGAGCTTTCGTATCTTCCACACACCGCTGCTGCATGTCCTCAGGCCTGCTTGGGGTGCACAGCCCCTCCTCCATCGCTGGGACACGAGCCATCTTTTCAGCCCGTGTTTGCACAGCACCCAGCTCGCTGGGGAACTGCTCTGAGCTGTGGATCTGCGTCGCTGTCTGTGCAGCTGGGCCTCACCAGGCAAAGCTGACCTGGTCTTTCAGCTGGCTGATGCTGGCCAGGCAGATAGCTTCAAATTGCACCGATAACTCGTCTAATTCATGTTAGAACTCAAAAATACAAGCATTTCAGAATTAAAGTTGACTACGCTCCTTAATCCTCAAGCTTTGTACGTATCTGCACAGCCAAAAAGCCTTTTGCATGGCTGCCGCTGGTGTCCTGGCTGCTGGGGAAGCTGTGCCGGCTGAGCTTGCAGAGGAGCACCTGTGTGCAGGGGGAAGAAACGTATCCGCGTTGATCATAAATAACATCAGCGCTGTGCAGCAGCTTGAGGAGAGGAAAAGGAGGTCCAGAGATGGCGAGGGGAAACGGAGAGTTCTCTGTTTGCTGCTTTTATTGCTTTGTTTTTCCGTTTCTGTACGAGCAGCCAGGAATGCCGATGGTGCGAACGCCGCAGGCTCGGGAACGGGCACGCATGGCCTCGGCCGCCATTTCCGGGCTCGGAGCGCCCCCTGCCGGCAGCCGGGCCCGATCACGGGCTCCTTCCGCCCGCCGCGGTGCCCGAGCGCTGCCCGGAGCGGGGCCGGCCCTGCCGGGGTCGGATGGCTCGGAGTCAATCCGTCACGTCTCATGCAGCCGTGTCCGTACACCAAGTGGGAAACAGAAATGCGAAGCCCGCCACCGGGAAGATATTCAACGGCCGAGATGTGGGAAGCTTCCCAGCAAAACACAGATTGCTTCTCGCAGGAGCTGCTGGATACAGCCTGCAAGGGGCCAGCAATTAATCACTGGTTTGGAGAAACACAGTGCAGTCATAAAGACTGAATTTTAAATGCTCCCTTCTCCAGTTTGGACAGTGACTAATGAAGGACTGTAGAAAAGCAGGTGTGGTTCTTGAGGAAGTCCTCTGAGGGCAATTAAAAATGGGAAAGCAGCTGGTAAGTGTGCAGATGTGACAGCTACAGCTTAAAAAATTAATACGAAGGAAGAAGATGGATGAATGAACGGTGTAGAAGCTGAGGGGCCATGCCTATGGCAGATGAGGTGCCGAGTTGTGTGGGACTGTGCAGGGGTCAGCCCAGGGAAGCTGTGACTGTGAAGCCCCATGTCCTGGTCCTCAAGGTCTGCCCTTGGATGGGCTCAGAGCAAAGCCCCTGATGAAAGACCCCACAGCCCACAGGAGGTGCTGCCCCATGAGCCCCGCAGCATCCCCCAGTGTGACAGCCAGAGCTGATGGCAAGGACAGCTCTGAAGGTTTCCTGATGCCCTGTGATGGGAAGGGTGAGGGCAGCTTTTAGGGCTGGTTGTTTCTGAGTCAGCTCAGTAGAAACTAGGGCTGCCCAAAGCCAACCAACCAGCTGGGTTGCACAGGCGGTTCTTGTGGTTTCCAGCCCATCTGTGGTCTCCAGTGCTTGCTGTTCTGGACCTTTGTCCCATTGAAAAAAACATACAATAATTCAGATATGATCCAAATTAGACAGGATTCATTATTTACCATTGGGATTAACACCTAGGAGTTCTCAACAATTGCATAGATAGTGCCATGAAAATAAAATGTGTTAAGGTTTAAAGGCTTTCATGTGCCTGTGCAGCAAAGTGTCAGCCTCACGACTCCCCCATTGCCGAGAGGGGCACGCGGCAGCAGTTGCTCCTTGCTTCCCCACCTCCCTCCTGCAATCTGTTATGTCTGCAGACTGCTGCCTCATGCAGACATCTGGGATGCATCACGCGCCTTCTCCTCCTGGAGAGAAGAGATGATTTTTTTGGACACAAAGTAAGCGCAGAGGCGCTCCGCATCCTCTGAAAGGGAACATACAGCAAGTTGCTGCACGTACAGTGGGAAATAGGAGAAGGGAGGGAGGAGGTTTTGTTGCAAGGAGATGTGAGAGCCAGAAATGTTCTGGTGTTCAGAACTTTCCTGAGTGGAAACCTCCTATGCACATGGGAAGGGGGAAGGCCGTGATGGGCTGAGATAAGCAGTTTTTCCTTGTGTTTGTTTTAGGGGGGCAGCCCGAGCAGAGAAGATACTGCCAGCTAAGCTGTGTGAGGACGTTTGCTGCTTTCAGGCAGGGGCTGGTTCCCAGCTGTGGGCCGAAGTGCAGCAGGTGGTGCTGTGGGCCAGGGGATGGCCAGAGCGAGGGCCCAGGCAGGAGGGGCTTTGCTGGCAGCATTCCTGCCAGTTGGGACCCTTCCAGCCCTTTCCGTAGAACCACAGAATCATTAAGTCTGGAAAAGGCCACTGAGGTAGTCTAGCCCAGCTCCAATCCATCCCACCGTGCCCAATAACCGTGTTCCTCAGAGCCACATCTCCACAATTCTTGAACACCTCCAGGGACGATGACTCCACCACCTCCTTAGGCAGCCCATTCCAGTGCCCAACCACTCAGAAATTTTTCCTAACATTCAGCACAGTGGAAGCTTTGTAAAACTATTATTTGCCATCCTGTAAGGCTTTAGTTTTCTATTTTTTTTTCTCGCCTCTGCCATCAAAAATAAGAAGGGTTTTCATTTTATATTCAGACACTTCCCTGCGCACTGTGATTTGGTGGAACTGTTATCTGCTGTGTGGTGCTGGAGCATGAGAAATATGGGTGCTGCATGTTAGATTATGGCTGATAATAAAAAAGTAATGGGAGTGCGTTCTGCCTCTAAGGAGGAGCAATAAATACATCAGCTACCTGAGGTGCGAGAGCTCTTGAGCTTCTTTGTAATGAACAAATAATAAATCTCTAGGGCCCACTGGAGACTACTTAGAAATAAAACACCACAGTTGGAAGAAAAATATCTTTGCTCTGAAGTAGGTGAAGAAAAGAAGATGATGGAAAGCAAAAGCTGAATGTGCTGGGGCAGCCCCTGGGGCTGAGCATGGAGGAAGGCTGGGTGGAGGGTGGTAACAACACACACCTGGGTCATTTGTAGGCTGGAGAGGGAGATTGGCCTGAAGTCAAGGTAACAGGGCCCGAGGCCCTGTCAACCCTGCGAGACCGCCAGTGCTCCATCATCACCGCCTGCTGTTCCCAGCACCAGTGCCCTGCCTGGGAGCTGAGGGGCTTTCTGGATCTCCCCTTGCCTGCATGGGACAGAGCCCTGGCCACGTGGAGATGGGAGCTCCTGGCTCCCTTTGTCAAGCTGGAGATGTTGCATGGGCTGCATGTGATGCATACACGCAGATGAAGTTGAGGTCTCAACTGTCAGCTTCTTGCAGAAGTGGGTAAAATGTCTCACTGCTCCTTTCGAAGAAAAGGGAAAATTGTACCACTTTGCTTAGGTTAAAAATGAAAAAATGCAGCTATTTTGCTGAGAAGTTGTGCCAGGGCCATGGCTCAGCTCAGGGTCATGGCTGGCCTGATGACAAGCATCTGAAAGTCATCATCAGCTTGTGTCCAGTGGAAGCATGGGGAGTTGTGGCAGCTGGATGCTGAATAGGGATTTTCTGGCAAGTTCACATTGGGAACAAGCCAGAGGCAAGCACTAAACTGGACTCAGGAGAGCTTCTCCCTGCATGGCCTCCCTGTGCTGGGCCAGTGGCTGGGGCCTGCTGGAGAGCAGCAGGAGGAGGATGGAGCACGGCTGAGGCAGCAAGGAGCTGGTCCCATGGCTGCAGGGGAGGCTTACCAATTGCTAAGCTCAGCAGTGTCCCAGCCTGCCTGCGGGTTGCTCCACATCATCCCCTCCAAAAGGACAGGCTTCTTCCTAGAGCACAGACATGTACGTGCTGGTTGATTTATTTACTGTACTTGTTTTCAAATAGCTGCCAGCATAGGGTTAGGTCTACCGTGCTTATCAGGATGAGAGATGAGAAAAAAGATTTAAAAAAATGTACTTGGGATTTCCTGCTCCCAGTCCCCATTTGTCACTCCTGTGACAGCAGGGCTAAAAATACTCTGTTCAGTACGAGGACTTGGAGGCTGGAAGGAAGCTGCTCACCAGCATGAGCTCTGCCCTCCCAGCACAAAGCCAATGGTATTTCTGGAATCGTTTTTCTCAGCATTTAGCTGGGGCCTTGCTCAGTGCTGGAAGATGAATGAGAGCCAGAGCTTTAGCTGAGGTCTGAGGACTCCTTTCTGAGCCCTCAAAATGCAGAGATGTTGGGCAAGAAAGCACAGGAAACAGGAGCAGCAGTCGAAAGGACAGAAGAACAGAAGAGATGAACAGCGAAGGAAAACTTCCACTCAGCATTTTTTTAAAGTCACCAATCTGGAGTGGCATGGTTGGAAGGGAAGTGCTGACAGGAGCTCCTTTTCTTCTCTGGGGTCTTTAAATGAACAGGGAAAGTGAAAAGAGAAAGGAATGAAAAAGGGAAGAAAAGGCTCTGTAGGAGTAAGATGACATTTTAAGCAGAAAGGGTGAGAAAAGGAGCAAAGGATGTCTCATGTCAAGTAATGCATGGGAAAAGAAAACAACCAGAAGGAGGAAAAGTGACAAAATAGAGCAGAAGAGGTGGGATTCTGACAGAGAAGGACATCCCAGAAAATAAACCAAGAAGAAAAAAGTCAGACACTATAGAAACAGTTGAGAAGTCAATGGAAAAGAGCAGCACAGGAGAGGAGAACCTTCAAAATACCAGACGAGGAATCTGTAGAGACTGGGGGATGGAAATACGTCCTGAGGTCCATGCTTCCAGCAGAAAGGCACAAATCAACAGCAAGAGAATGGTTCTTCACCGAAGCATGTTGTTTCAGCTGTCTGGGTGTGTGGTCAGCCCCCGTTCTTCAAATCCCACTCCTGCAGTGGTAGAGGATGCCAGGACATCTCCAGAAAGGCAGAATGGGAAGGAACAGCACACAGTTCGACTTGGTTTCTGTGAGGCCCCAACCAAACCCTGCCTGTCTTCGGCTATTTTTCCTATATTTGAAAATTCACAAATTCAGGGAAATGAATTACAAAGGGAAGAGAGAATCACACAGTCATAAAGGTTGGAAAAGCCTCTAAGATCACCTAGTCCAACAGTCCACCTACCACCAATGTTGCCCTCTAAGCCATGTCCCTCAGTGCCACATCACCACATTTCTGGAACACCTCCATGGACTGTGACCCCACCACCTACCTGGGCAGCATCCAGTTGCAGTGCCTGACCACTCTTCTGGAGAAGTTTTTCCTAATATCCTCCCCTGGCACAACTTGATGCCATTCCCCTAGATGGAAGAAATGAAGCCAGCAAAACAAAAAAAGCCATGGTAGCAGTAGCAAAATCCTGGAGCCCAAACTTCTCCAAAACCTCTTGGCTGGGCATCAGGATGCACATGAGACTTTGCAGCACTTCTCCAGCCCTGTACTTTCCTCCCTTCTCACTGGGGTTCTCAAATGCAGCCAATTTCCTCCCTCGTACTCTCACAGCCCCCCAGAGAAGCACACACTGACACAGCACTCACCCAGTTTTTCTGAGATCGACAATTTGTAACGCAAGGTTTCAAAAATGAGGGAGAGAATGGCGTGTTAAATGGAAGCGGTCTTCTCTAAAATGGAAAGCATTTTCTCTAAAAGCCACCGATGGGTACAAGAAATCCACTTAAAACATATAACCAAATGTTATTTAATATCTTAAAAAGTAACACAATCCAAAATGGATATTTCACACAACACTACATAAACAACATGAACACAATATTACCATATGGAGGGACTTTCAAATATAGACTTACAAAAATCCCTGTCCTTTTTTCCTTTAAATTATTATACTAAGCATGACAAGTTATCATCATTTACAATATGGTACACTGACACAATAAAAACCATGTTACAAATGTGCTGTTATAAATCAGTAACGTTAGGGAAGACATTTCATGAACCGTAATTATTTCATATGAAATACTATACAATATAAACAGAACATCCATCTTGGATGACCTTTACAGCAACCAGAGACCAAGTAATTTTTAATTTTTTTTTTCTTTTTCTTTTTTTTTTTTCAGTGCAAACACATTTATACAAGGCAGTCTTGGCTGCAAAACTCCCTTCTAACATACAGTAAGTCCCACTTGCATTTATTAACTCATTTAGACCTAATGCAACAGCCACATTCAGTCACTCACAAGAAGTTACCTGCAGAATTACCATCCCTTTCAGCACACGTCTCCTCCACACACCAAGGTAACCCCTATGCCAGCTCTCCCCACAGCCGGGCCGGGCACGGGGCTGCTGCCCTCTGCCAGGGATCTCTTCCAGCTCCGGGTGTGTGCGTGCGGCCTTCTGCTCCTTTAGTGTCTTGGGGGGAGGAACACGGAAATCCTCAGCTCAGAACTGAGCTTCAATGGAGTTAGCAAGTAATTCCGCTCTCTGTGAGAGGGGGGAAGCGGGGAGTGACTGCCAGATTTACACCGTGGGGCTGCAACCAACGCTCGGAGCCGCTACGAGAAGCGCGAGTCCTGGATTCCTCTAGCACCAGCCTGGCTTTAGTTGGGTCCTGCGTGCCACGCAGCTCTCTGATGCAGTATCCATGTACTTTACTTACGTTGGGGGGGAACGCTTTAGATATATACTTTGTTTTCTTTTAAAGAATTATGTAAAAAATAGAACTTTTCTCTCTTAATACTGTACAGCTTTCTTCAGAAGAGCAAAGAGAATTGTAAACTGTGCGGGTGACACCAGATCAGGAGTGCTATTTGCTTCCTCAGCACCACTTGAACAACTGTGTTTAGGAAAAGCTCTGGGAAATGTATTCGAAAAACACATTTTTAATTAAAAATCCTGTTCCTAGACCCTCTGCTGGCAGTACTTGTGTGACTGGAACCTGTTCGGCACTGCTCGTCTGAGAGTCCCCGCAGGACCACACAGTAGCTCCTCTCTTAAACCGACCGTGTGAAAACTTCAGACTATCAACACTTTGGTTCACTAAGAAACTTTACTTGAATGACTTTTGAAGAGAAAGAAGGAAACTGGTTAATAATTTTGTCCACAGATTTCAGCCTTTGTCCTTTTTTTTTTTTTTCAGCATGCCCTGACACAAGATGGGGACGGTGCCACCTACCTGCCTGCCCTGGCTGCACCACACGGAGGGCTGCAGGGCCAGAGGGCATGATCTGGGTGCAAAGCATGACCTTGGCTTCCTCGTTCTCTGCTGTAAGAATGACTGCTCTGGCAAGCACTAGGCTGTGGTTTTCATTACAATATTTCTTTCCTGATATGTTTTAAAGTTGAGCGAGCATCACTGCTTGTTTTATGGATATTTTATAATGATGCAAAGAGTCAAATGGACGACCTCTTATGATTTTTAACTGAACTATTTTAACAGCTACATTAGCTCCACTGATGACCGTATATTAACCTGCACTGTGATAATGGTACTAGTTTGCTGAAAGAGGTGTTCATAAATCAGGGCTTGTATATAAATATGATCTGCTTAAGTTCAGCTGCCACTTTCTTCCTTTGGTTTTTGGAAAATCTTTTTTCCCTTCTGAACGGTGGCTTGTTGCAACTGGCTACTTCAAAGGCTGGCTTCATTTTTCTTGGGAACTTGGCCACGTTTTTTAAACAATAGGCACATACCTCAAGCGGGGTCCCTAATGCTGCTCCCAGCAAAGTCAATTAAGAGCTGCTGGTTATTTCTACAAGAGTGAGTGGTTCTGACGTACACACTCCAGAAACCAGAGCAAGTATCACTGTTCTAACCCTTACCAGTTCCGAGAAACCATGACCCGACCAGTTGGCAAAATCAGAGGCAGAATAGGGCCCAGTGTATTTGCAGGCTGCCAAGAAAATACCCGGAGCGTCTTCCCCTAAAACCCCACACCATCAATCATATTTCACAGACTGTAGATGTTCCTAATTTGCTCAGTTACATACACATTTTCAAGTTCTACCAGGCAGAAATTGTAGCAGTAACTGGGGAGAGGATGGGAGGATTCAGCCTCCCTTTTCACTGTTATCCAAATTATGCAGCCTTGTCGAAGTCTTACATGACTCATCTGAAAGACAGATTTTTAATATTGTAAAAGGAAATCGTGGCAATGGAAACACGATGACTTCATACGCAAGCATTGACACACAAGAGAACGCCATGAGCTAATGCTTCAAAGTTTTTAACCTTGCTTTGTACAATACGCTTTTATGTTGCTGCATTTCATCAAATTCATGGAGGTAGTTATATGTGTAAAAAAAATTACCATAAAAGTAACATGTTGTATTATAATAATACATATCAAGTGTGCAAAATGCCGACAGATTTGTGTTGACCCTTTACAGTTGAACACAACACAGATTCAACCTAATCTAACTCTGTAAACCTTTAAATCGATACATTAGAATGATAGATAAGCAACCACGTAATACAAGGCTATGATTTCATCAAAGGATTAGGGTGACATAAAGCACTCAAGCTCCACTCTCGTGGTTTTGTTACCAGAACCTCAAGATGGAATTTCCTTATATTCCATTGTTGATTTTTAAAGAAAAAAGAAAGAAAGAAAAAAAGAAAAAAAGAAAAAAAGTAATTCAAGATTAGAACGTTTCTATTTGAAACTTCTGTTTACATTCCATATTCCAAGAGTCACATTAATATTGGTACAATGCCACGTCAACATTAATATGACATTTATGTTGTCTGCTGGTCTCTGGGAACTTCAGAAAACTACATACTACACAGTTTGTAGGTATGTACTGTCATGTTTTGTTGGAACTATGTCTTCTGTACAACCAGCTGCCTGCCTAAGTTCCGATTAGTTTATGACAAACACTTCTCCAAAAGATGAAATTTGTTTTTGCTCCTCACATTCTAATACTGCCATTTGTACTTCAGATCATCGGCTGTAATTATTATTATTTTTTTTGTTTTGACATTTTTATTTACTGAATGGATACATACTACTGATGTCAGAGCTTGCCTCAGAAAACAAAATCACAGTCAGCCACTGCATAGTATATGACAGCTCCCCACAAAAACTCTGACTCTACAGTTCACATGGAGTAAGCACGGCTGGAGTTACATACTGAATAGTAAGATGCGTCATGCAAAGCGCTATATGGTCATTAGAGCACATCTTGGAAGGTATGATAAGGCAGAAGGCTAAAGGCCAAGTGACTTTGATAACCGACCAAAAGCACAATAATTTCCTTCATGTGCACCAAAAGGTCTTATTGCTCCTGTGAAATGGAATTTGTACACTGAAACCAAGGAAAGCAGACCTGTGCATTTACTGGGTACTAGAGATGTTCTTGACAGAATTAGAAACTGATCATGTCCAGTTAGAAAGCCAGCTGGTAAGAAAATGAACTTATATCCAACTGCATAACATAAGGCTGAACCTTCAGTGAAGACTTCTGATGAGAATATAGAACATGAGTGAAGCTCAAATGACTCTGCGTACAGAGTAATGCATGTCACCAGAACCTGATGAAAATACTGGTTCTTAGTATGTACAGTTGGTTTTAATACCTGTGTACTACAGGAGCTAGACAGTGGAAATGTCCCTTTTCTATTCAACAGTTTGGACTGCTGAAGATTTAATATCTTTGTTATTCTTCCACCAATTTGTCTGTTCTGACAGAAAACGAAGATAGAATTAATTTTTAAGTCAGTTTGTTGCACTACCAGGTTGCATGAGGAACAGAGCAGAATGTGACCCTACACCTCAAAATTATTCTTGAAGTTCAACTATCCTTAGAAGTTACTCTGCAGTAATTAGCATGGTACAAATTACTCCAGAGTAACAGTTTTGGGGAGAGCAATTAGGATAAACCATACCTACAGAATTCAGTTTTCTACTGCCCACCATACAGACACATTTAATTTCTAGAAACTAAACATGTCCATAAAATGCTAAATTGCAAATAACATCCACTGAATAAAAAGGCCAGAAGTTTATAATTCTCTAAATTTTGTTCTCTGATAATCACTACACTGTATGCTATTTTTAATAGCCTAATTTAGGCACTCTATTTAATAAGCTACATAAAATAGATTTAGTCCTTCCACTAGAAAGAAATCAGTTCTTCAGGCCATACTTGTCATTTATATCATAAAGAATATTTTTGTTCAAAGAAATCAGATTTTTTTCTGGTTCCTGCGTTAATGGCAAGTTGCAATACCAGAAGTGACATGAAAATCAGATTATCTTTTTAAAATACTTGATGTAAACTGAAGATATTTCCTCTATTTTGTGCCACTCTGCGCTGCAGCTCTACAACAGTTATAACTTTCCCTTCCCTCCCCATTCCCCCCTCTAGCAAAGGTCTACCTCCCCATTTGTGACTGCAGAAGGTCATGCAGCGAGCTTCAGTACACAAACATCTCTCATACTTCTGAAACACAAAAGGGAAAGCCGTCTCCCTCCCCACCCTCCACACTGTAAAAAAAGAACCTCTTCTTACTCACTTCAACAGGTATTTGCAAAATTGTCACAAAAACGCACAGTGGAAATGACTGATCGGTACCGATAATTCACAGACGGAGCCGAGGTCATCACTCGTCACATTTGGCATCATTTTTCCTCGTGGTGATCCTGGCTGGTCACTTTCAGCACTGGCTCAATTTTTGAAGGAAACCAACTCTGCAGCAGAGTTTAGCTTCTGACCAGGGACATCACACATCTGTGGCATTTTTTTAAAATGAAGTTGGCAACTGCATGGACATTGAAAATGCAGATTACACTTACAGTGTCTAGACTTTCATATATGTGCTCAGTTACAATTAAGTGAAGCAAAAAGTGTACATATTATCCCTACTGCTATTCTGTTGCTACAGAGCCGCAAATGTGAAAAGCAATACCTCGAAAGAAAGATTTACTTGTTGCCCCTAGTCTACATAGCAGCACAGTTTAAGTAAACACTAAAACTGTGGTTGAGATGCTTTTTTTTTTTTTTTTTTTTCCCCTCCAAAGATGTAAACATCAGTCCCAGTGTCGTAAACTTTGCTGTATGGGATAAGACAGAAATTCTGAGGCAGGCTGACTATCAGACACTAGTGACAGAAGCTTGCAGGCAGTTAGCTGGTTTCTGCAGTTTCTCAGCTTCGCTTGTCGGTGGGTCTGTGGTGGCTCGGAAGCTGAACGCTGGGCCTGCACCGCCGTGTGCTGGGCTCAAAGCAGGGTTCTGACGTCTGTTGCTTTCAACAATGCTCGAAGTGTTGGATGCCAGGCTCTCCCGAGTACTAGAATGGAAAAGAAATATATATACACACTCACATATGACATGCCGATATATCTATCGACCAGGCGGGAAAGGAGAATAGAGTGTTTTATAATAGGCTTCCTATGTTTGTATGCAATGTCACATCAATAAACCATCTCATTTTGACAGCTCACATATGTTCCTCCAGAACGGGTTCCAGCAGTACTCAGCAGTCGCCGTGCTGTAACGCGGGGACAGCACTAAGCAGAGCTGGAGCTGTCACACAGGGTCTGTAAACCAAACCACTACCAAGTATCTGGATTTTTACTCAAGGACATACCTTCTATTTTGCATGTGGAACATAATTTTCTTCCCTGGCTTGTCCATTTTTGCACAAAGTAACTTCATCAAATCAGCTCTGTGAATAAGTACAGCTAGCAGAGTAACCATGCAACTTGCTTTGTCATTTCCAATCTACATCTTTCATGGATTATGTTTTCAACTAAAAATGCTACTTTACATGAAACACATAATGCTTCTGAATGCAACACCTAAATCGTGCCTTACTGCAGAGACTACTGCAGGTCACAAAATGCTAGCAAATCAGAATAGCCACAATCATTCTCTGAGCAAGGAGTGCTGTCATCTCACTCAGATAACAGACCGAGTTCCTGTAGTTCTAACACATCGTTTGTCCATGGGAGTGACAGCACACTTAGCACTTTCAAAGACTATGCCTTTAAACAATACATCTAACTAAGAATGCAGAAGAGTCTATATTTTGGATCAAGCTTCAAAAAACTCACCCATATGCTAAAGCTAGATTTCAGCACTACCACTCTTTTTGTTCTCTTTCTACTCTTAATCTCTAAATCATGCAGAAAGAGATTTGGTTTTCAAACAGTCGTGAGGATCCTGGTTATATATTTTTCATCTATAGCCCCACTTCTTTGCAAAATGACACCATGACTTGCCAAGGACATGTTTCCTGAGTACATTTAGAGTACTACTGGATGTTAAATGGGCACTACAACCAGAGGTACTAAGGACAGAGGGAGAAATGTGTCAGTGCGCGACACAGAGGAAAGAAGAAATGTCTCGTTTAGCTGTAGTAATAAATTTAGCTGTAAGTCATCTTAAACTGACTGCAACTAGAATGATGCTTTTAGAGAAGCTCTTGTAGATCTTTTAAAATCAATCAAAATGGCACTGATCATCTGCCAATTTCCTCCTTGTTGTAAGCAGTTCCGAACAGCTACAACAGGTGACGCATGCACTGAGCTGCAGTGACATAGGCTGTGCTTCTGGTCTTTGATTCCTCTCCTTCTGCTTACAAACAAGAAGAGGTGCAATCTTTGCTTTCTGAAGATCATTCACTATTGTATGCTTCTTTAAGAGACCACCAATTTCACATTTTCAAACAATTTCAATTCCAGTGTTACAAACTGACCATTACGACATCTATAGGTAACGACTGCAGTGAGTTCTGTATGCAGAGTAATGCCAAAATTAGCTCCTTCCTTAGGTGACAAAAGAACAGCAGTATTATATAAGCCCTAAAAATAAAGCAATAAAATGAATACGGTGAGCTAATGGATACCATATACACCACCTGTATAAATGCAATGAACAAAATACTGAGAGGCTGTCCTCTAGACAGTGATACTTTGTTGAATTTCATACACAAAACACTTCTGAAGTCAAATGATCATTGCAAATCACATGCAGTACCCACATCTCATTAAATACCCTTTTTCTTTCACAGTGTAGAGCTGCTAACTCTGATTCCCCAGGCAACACTGCGTGACCAAACAGCACCACAGCCCAGCAGACACAACCCCAGAGGTGCACATCAGCAGAGGCCCAGAGTATACTTGAGAGAGATCACCAGATGCAGGTCCTAGTTTTATCCTCTTCCCAAGGCATCTGCTAATGGATGCTGTCAGAGCTAGGTGAATCTTACCAGATGGATGCTGGACAGTGTTTTTACATTTCCTGGAGAAGGGCTGTGGAGTACATTTTTTGTTACAATGGTAGGCAAGTAATAACACAATGGTAAATATAGCCAGAGGGTCCAAATCCCCCTCATCTTCATTTGTTTTTATAGAGTTATATTGAGGAGTGAGCAAAAGCATCCAATTTAATCATCTTGATGCAAAACTCTTGGATGTTTAAAAGCCTTTGAAATACCTGGACTTACGCTGGCCTTTCGAAACAAATACACAGAAAAAAAAATGCCTACAGAACGTGTTTTTTTTTAATGTAAAAGCTTACTGTCTGTGGCCTTGCAAAAAGAAAAGAATCATAATTAATAAAATTAAAACATGCTATGTAGAACATGATCATTATTAAAAGCTGCTTATCTCTTTCCCTTTTAATCTTAACAAAAGCTGAATCCAGTTAGCTCACAACGTTCTGTTCTCTTCAATCTAAGTTCAAGTTGAACTTCAACAGAAATTTTAGCCTTTGTGTAAATAATTATGGAAGAAAATGTCTGACTTTGCATTAACCAGACATGCAAGCTTATATTCAGTTAGCATGCATCTAGCAAAACTAAGAACTGATTTTTATCCAGTCAACATCTTGTCCTGGAGATGAAACACACTGAGCAGAGCAGGATAGGCTGGGCAAGCAGTAACAAACATTATATACTTCCCTGCAAAAACTGACTGCCAGTATAGAACTTCAACTTAAAGAGATTACATTTTAAAATAAACAGCACAAATAGCCTCAGACAGCAGCTGTATTTGGGAAAGATGCCAAGCATCTGCAGAGCAGTAGCAAAATCAAAATCTTCTTGTACTCCCTTTTTTAAGTTAGATTCAGTGCAAATGTGATCATTTTACTCAAATTACTCCAATTTTTTTTTTTTACTTAGGAAAAAATCATACATATGTTAAAAGTCCGCTCCGGTAGCTTGATGTTTGCTGCGTGCTGCAGCAGGCCCAGCAATTCCTGCCTTGTCACTAACATCAAGCAGGAGTAACCATCAAATCCAAAGGAATTTATTTCAGAATGACATGACTTTAACTGAAAAGGAAAGTTAGTCCTGTGTGTAGAAGCAGGAAACCCTTCATGTGCCTTTCTGTGAGCCTTTGCAGTAGATTTTTAAGACTATAATTTTGAGGATTAAGAACACTTTTTAACTTAAAAGAAAACTATTTTCTTTCCTCTAATACAAATCCAGTCTTGGAGGTTTTATTTTTAAACACAGGCAATAAATAATTTAAACCTAAGTAAGACACTATAGGAGAACAAGCATTGTAAATTATTTCTGTGGTTTCAGAGTCATTGTTCTGAACTCTGATGGGTTGCTATCCAGGGCAAACAAAACCAGGCAAGCTCCATTCCAGCAGGGACCTAGGATAGCTAAAGTCCAGAGGGAGAAGGAAGAAGGCTCGAGTGAAGGATTCTTAATCTGGAAATGAGATTATCAGAACTTCAGGGTAGGAAACACACCAGGAACTCTTTCCTCACTAAGCCTGTGAGAGTCCAGTTGCACCAAGACTTCTGTAATATCTGCAATCCCTGGGATGGAAATGACTAACCCTTGCCACCACACACAACTGTCTGGGCTCTTTTCCCAAGCATCCTAGGCAAGACATTGCTCTCTCTGCGGGTGCAGTACTGGGTCATCTCTGAAGGTAAAATATCTTGAGCCCTTTCAGCAGTGTGGAGAAAGCAGCTGTTCCAGACTCACTGGTTTGGAATGGCAATAGATAAAATTCCAAAATTTTTGAAGAAAACAAACAAAAAAAGCCAAAGCCCATACCAAACTGTTTTGGTTTTTTTTCCCTATGCCAAAGATTACGGCATCTAGTTATGTCTAGTCTTCCAATTAGTCTTGATGAGAAAAAGAAGGGGCAAGTATGCAGGAGCTCATCCCTTCTACTCTAAATGCAAACACAAGTTTAAAACAGAGAAAAAAAAAGGACACAGGGACATTTTTCAGCCAAAGAAAAATAAGATAATACAGAGTTAGTACCACAAATGGTCACTGGTTGCTTACAGTATGGGAGAAAACCATACAACTGAGTATCAGATTCCAGAGCTGCAGAAAACACTGTCTTAGAACACGTACATTTGTTTAATATGGCCTTACATTCTGTTACCAATACAATACACACAAATAATAAAAATTGAACTTTCTAGCCTGTAAAGATGCAATTAATGTGACAGTCCTACCGTGGAGAGTTGAACCCGCTGTCCACAGTGATGCTGCTGCTGTCCATGCTGTCCAGGCGGGCTGAGTGGGTGGCTCTCTGGTTGTTGCTATTTTCTGTTTCTTTTGGAGTGAGAAGAGTGAGATTCTTCTCAAACTTTCTTTGCAGATCTCTCTCTTTTTCCCTCTCCAGGAGCCACTGCATTGTGCCAACATCATCCCTGTTCTTCTCTTCCTCGGCATTTTTGTTGGTTCCCTCCTCTGAGTCGTCGTCATCAGATACGTTGTAGTAATCAAACGAGGCCTCCTGGTTCCCAGCTGTCTCTTGCTGTCTCTGTGAGACAGGCATGACTTGTGTGACTGAGGTTACTATCGCTTGTTCAAGTTTCTCACATCTGACTGGTAACGTGTCAGAAGGGGTCTTTTGATGGGGCTTTAGCAGGGGTGTGCTAGACTTATGGAAACTATTCACAGAAAGAGTGTTGTGCAGAGGTTTGAAGAGAGTATCCTTACTAAATATTTCTTTCCTTTTATCAAGGCTGCTTGATTCAGCACTGTGGTGTTGAACCAGCCGTCCGTTTGCAATCACCTCTGGAGTCTGGCCAACAACCGCTGAGCCGCTGCTTGGGCCCTTTGGGGACTCCTCTTTGTGCACCCCAGGCTCCCTGGGAACATGCTGAGACTGTCTTTCTGAGGGAGTCATTTTTTTGAGCCCATCTGTCCCTGTCAGCGTGTCATGATCCTCTTTGTTCTTTCCCAGTGGTGACGGAGCAGTAAGCACAGTCTCACTGGACGTGTTGCACTGGAAATAGTCATCGACTGCAGATTTTGTTGTGCAGGAGTTGAGCTCACTATACGATGGCAAATTCTCCGTAGGCTTTTGTTCCAACACACTACAGGAACTGGGGGTTTCTACACTGCCGCTAGCTATTTCAGGGATGCAAGTCTCTTTGTAGCTTGCAGATGAAATCAGAGCCCTTTGATGACTGAGCGACTGAGATGGCCTTAAAGTACTATCATCAATGTAAGTTTGGCTAGTTGTTTGGTCATCTGGGCTACAGCCTTCACCCATGTCTTCAGGTGTGCCTAAAGTAGCTGAGCCCAGAGGTCCCTTGGAGTTATCCATAGATCTAGACCTTTCTTTAGCCTTACTAGACCGCTCATTCCTCGATCGTCTATCCTGCGTATGGCTGTGGCTCCGATGGACCTTAGAGTGGGAGCTTCCCCTGGAAGGTTCAGGAAAAGGCATTTCAGTTCTTCTTTTAGCCAGCTCACCAGACACATCCCATTCTGGTGTCATGGGAAAGTGAGATTCAATCATGCTAGGGTTGCTGTGCATTATAAAATTATCTCCCTTGTGTTCTATTATGAAACAGCCTTCCCGCGGGGATCGAGTCAAGGGATCATAGAACTCATACTCTCTTTCAGCAGGTATATCCAAATGAGAGCCATCAGATGGATCTCCTTTGGATACCCGAGTCTTGCTGTGTGACCTCGATTTCCCATGAGACTTTCTGTGATTCCTACTTTTTTTACTTCGTCCACTGTGGTGAGCTGAAGATCCCGCTTTGCTTCGTTGAGCTTTTTCTTCTTCAAGTTTCTTCATTAGTGCAGTGTGCCTCATGACATTTTCCACAGTCAAATCTGGGTTAATGCGCCTGATAATCTCCATCTCTACCTCTCTAGGTATAGTGGTAGGGGTGTCCTCGTCTCTCAGTGGCCACTCCTCTGGAGGAAACTGGGCAGAGAAATTTGCCAACTGTTTTGTCTTGTCCTTCTTAAAACTTAAGCGGAATAATTTGAGTCCAAATTTCTTAGACTGCTTTTCTACATCTTTAGGCTTTGTGAGCGTCTCTGCCTTATAAGAAAAATTGACAGTACTTTTACTTTTCTCAGTGGGTGGGACCTGGCATAATGAAGGAGGACAATATGAGTCTTTACAGTCTTTTGCTGACTTTCTCTGTAGGGTAGATGCATGCATGCTGTGCATGTCTTCTCTGCAACAATGGCAGGAGTCGCAGTGGTTTTTGGGTAGTGTTCGATCCCTGACGCATCCCGAGGTGGAGGGAGTGATAGTTCCTTGTTGCGGAGAGGTACATTGAGACCTGTCAGGTATCCTCTCATCCAAATGGTACCATTTACTGTTAGTTCTTATGAGAGATGGTGTTATAAAGTAAGTCTGCGGGGTTACAATGAAATAACCATCTGGAGTTGGGTATATTTTCCTCTCCCGTACAAGCATATTCAAGGTATGTCGAAGGATTTCTGGACTGGGTGTTGGAACCCCTAGAAACAACAGCAAACACATATCAGGGAGTATGTAAACAACGGAGTACTCTGGCTCCCTCCCTCCCCTACATAAACCTGTTTTTCTAATGTGCAAGCTGGAATATGCTGAACAAACAACTCCAAAGTACTTTGTTAGGCATTCTCTTGTCTGTTTGTTTTTTCACTTATCTCCTACACTTCAAACATATGAATTATTAAGAGAAAGGAGGCCATTAATGGAGTGCTAAAAAAGAAAGAAGAGAGAACTTCTAGTCACTTCCATCGCACAGGTGACCCTAAGCTACAGGATGAAATCACTGGAAAGCAAAGGGTGTTAGAAGGAATATTTCATTTTTCTTCTTCTTCCAATCAAATACATATATGCCATTTCGCCAGAACTACTTATAACAACGTACAGTCTTGTATAAAGTAGTGGTTATTTGTTCATCTGGATGCCTAAGTAGTTTTCTTACAGAAGAATACCACAAAGGAAAAAAAAAAAAAGATTCCCCAAAATTGCCCTCCATCACAGTCTTGACTGAACTGGTTTGAGATTAAAACACATCTCAACTAAAACAGCTGCTCCAAAATACATGTTTTGAATGATACAGTTCAAGTTACCCAAGGAAACATTTCCACTATGCTGGAAGCTACAGATCTAGCTCCTAAGAATTTGCTTCTGCCTTTCATATGCAATGTGAAGGATGCTTACTTAAATAAATATATCACATACCAAGAGATGGTCAAATATGTCAGCCATGCATCAGTGCCACACAAGCCACACAGGAAATGTGGCACTGTGAACCCAGTCCTTCCCACTACCAGTACTCCTGCTGAGTTCAGTGGTGCAGCAGCAAGTCTTTAATAATTTATTAGATAAAATACCAAGTTAGCATGCTGTGCACAAGAGTAAGTTCCATGTAGAGCTAAGGGAGCAAGAGTTATAACAAAAGTAGTTTAAAAAGAAATCTGCTTGTGTTGAATGAGAAATAATAATCTTTCAAAAATTGCAGTTGAAACGGTTATCTTCGACCACTATATTTTGCTGAACTAGGAACTGTTTAAGCTTATTTTGGGGTACTGAGCTGGTTTATATCTTTTTTAACTGAAGAAATTCTTATTAAAAGTTACGAGTATTTACTGTAGGTTTTAGTTTTCTTTCCAATAAAATTAATTCAGTAAATAAATAATTGAATTTGAGGGTAAGTTATGTTGGAAGGGATCTTGATAAGTCATGTGGTTAGCCACCTACGTAAGTGCAGTAAAACTTAGAACAAATTATCATATCAGGTTCTGAATAGCTGAAAGGATGAAAATTTCATGAAATTGTGCCTTCAGTAACATTTCACCAAATACTTGCTTTTCACAGAAATACTTTGGAAAAATTTCAACGAGCTGTCACGCAGTTACCTTCCATAGCACGTGGTGTATGGTCACCAGCTCTTTGCCCACATGTCAAAGGCTGCAGCCTGCAAGCTCCCTGAGTTCCTTAAGTGAGCAAACATGAGAATGACAGCAAGAGCTCTGGCAGTATGACCAACATCTCATCACGTGATTACCACACTCTGACTGTACACATAAATGGCCTCCAAGCATCAGACCCAGTACCACAGTGCAAGTGAAAGGCAGGACAATGAAAACCTCAGTATCACAGAGAGCAGGAGAAATTGCTCAAAACAGTTTCTTGGTGAGAGTGCAACTTTGGAAAAGGCATGCTCTTGGGATGGGATGATAGCTCTCAGTAAACCACTGGTAGCCCAAAGGAATCTGACCTTTGCAAACAAAATAAGAAGTCTTACAGTGCTGAACAAATTAAAGGTGACCAGTGCTGGAACTTACAGCAGCTCTAACATCCTCTAAGTAAGAAGGCTTGCTGCCAAGCACCCTCAAACTTAATTTCATGATATAAAATATGGCGACACAGATCTATCATTTATCCCATCAAGCACAATGGAAAGTAAAATATAATGAAAAAAAGGCAAAATTTCTTGCCTGTTTCTGCCAAAGAAACAGATGCAAACTACCTGGGATATAAGTAGTAACGGAAAGTAAAAAAGAATTAACAAGCAAAAGATATTCATCATTTTCAAGGCCCATTACCATGACATACCTTTAATATCTACATAGAGCATGCTGAAGGAAATCTAGGGTCGGTTTGGGCAGTACCACCCCTTATGCTTTGCATCACAAGTGGTAGATGACTCCAATCTGACTCCAATCTCAAGCTTACATGCCTCTCCATCCTGTGCTGAAAATGCACTGCAGGGTCCAGTCCTGCTCCTGCTGAGATGCAGTTGTCGTGCAGCAGCCAATCTCTAATCCTTCCTCTACATACAACCTGACCAAGCTACTGCATCCTCCAGAAGCCTACAAATAAAAACCTCAACACATATCTACTACCTTTGTCTGGAAGTACTTGGTCCTTCATCCTTATTTCACTTAACTTAAAAGAACAAGAAAAAAGAAGGAGAAAAAGGAGAAAGACATTCAGGTAGGAATGCAAGGAAGAGATTGATATGGATCATCTCATGTTTTAAGCTAGCTTTTTTTTAAACTGTGATGATAGCAGATGCAGATCTCTGGAGTACTGCTAGCACTATGTACAGATTTTGTTCAGGTCTCTTTCAGGTACTTACAAAAGCAGAAACGGACTCACATTTGAATTAGGTTGTTCAGCATTGTGAACAGGAGCAATGAAATTAATCTAGCCCCCTTTGCTGGTATTTTGTGTATGCCTTTATACCTAGTACTTTAGGTGAATACTTCAAACATGGCTGCATATGGCATAGTCTTGGCAGATGTGCACTTGAGTGTTCCCATTGCTCGTAAGAGAGCCAAATTAGCACAAAGATCAAGCAGTTTATTTATATTAGGAAGTATAACATCTGTCCTGCCTAATGATTCGCCTTTCCTACCTACTATGTCTATTTTATCTCTGAGCAGTTAAATATTACACCCTATGACTCCAACTCCAGTTGTGTTGTTAGGTTTTGTTTCCAAACTTGAAGTGTGATATTGGGTGTGCAACGGAATTATGCAAATTTAGAAGCCCAAACTTTCCCACTGGAAAGAGAGATCTTCTCATGTGGCAATTCATATTCATGCAGTCAAAACAAAATAAAAATACAAGGGAAGTCCTTGTTTAATCCCATGATTGGTGAGATTTCCATTAGACTGCAGCAGATTCAATAAAAAATAAAATAAATGTTCCTCTGTGTGGGCATAAGATTTCTACAACCTTTAAAGAGGTTAAAAAACAGCAGAGGAAAGTCTTGCTGTGGATGAAGACTGTAAGACAGGACTGGGTCGTTCAACTTTCTTCATACAGCAATTTCAATGCCATGCATCAACAAATACACTAAGGAGAAAGTGTACAACAAGAACAGCCTGGGACCAGCCCTGCTTCAACTAGAGCCACTGGCCAAGACTCTCCTGACGTCAACAGACACAGAACAGGCCCAAAGGCACAAAGTGAATGAAAAGGAGATCTTTTTCTATCAGTATGTATTTATCATTTGACAGCTCTATGCCTTTCCACATTCTGCAAGCCAGGGAAGCAAGGGGCCAAAACAGCATCTTGTTCAATGCAACAGGTCAATTATCTCAAGGTGAGAGGTCCAAGTAGGAAAATTTGCACATTCAGGGCTGGCCAGAGACGACTGTCATCAGCAGAGAGAAAACAGGAGGCTGACACAGTGCAACAACTTGATAAGGAAAATAGGATAGCAAGAATTCCAATCCTACACAGTCTCTCTACACTTACCACATCAGGATTGGGTTTGCAGAGGATGGGTTTCCAGCTAGATCTGGAACTCCCCCACAATATCTCAGTTGTCTGACTCTGATGTGGATAGACACGAGTTGTGATTGACACTCCAGGGATAACAAAGCATTTCAAATAATCAAAGACATAGACTTAGCAGCCCTACTGTGCTGGAAATAACAATGAGAGATAGAGGGCAAGTGACTTGTCAAAGATCATGGCAACTCAGAGGCACAAGCAGAGGAAGAGATGAGATTTCCTGGCTTCCTCAAGATCTTTTTCTTCACAGTAACCTGCCCACATCATTTCTATATATAACCTGCCCTTGCATTCGGAAGCCTACTTAAGGTCTCCCTGCTCCTATTAAATAGGCGCAAGAAGAAAAAAAACAAAAAAACCCAACCAACCAGTAGTTTAGAGGCTCTATCATTTAAAATACTGCATGACAGCAGTGGTGTTATTTAAGATTATGTAGTGTTTAAATAATTCAAAAGCAGAAACTGTCTGGACACTGAATCATCAGACATGTACATTTTTTGCATCTCAAGAGAGTCTACTATGCCATCCACTGAGCTTCCAGACAGAAGATTATGTCTTGTTTGCTGCTCACAAAGAACACTGACCTAGGGTGAACTCAGTTAATGTATGACACTTATTTTAAGTACTACATATATATTTCACATATTTAAAGAGCTAGCAGATATGAATGCGGATATCAGAGAAATTTGTGAGCTTTCAGAAAACTTCTTACTTCAAAACATGACCTAGTCCAATACACAGACAGTTTCCATGCTGAAATATCGAATACCTTAAAACGATTTTCGTAACAACACGGACAAATTTGGATAGAAAAGGAAAATCCTTACTAAAGACAGCACAGTCTAATGATCAATGTTTCCTTCAGCCATAGCAATACAGATAAGAGGGTCTGGCTGCTAAACACAGGAACAGAGGTTACATTCTTAGCTCCTTATACTGGATTTCAAAGATTTACATTTAGTGCACAGGATTTAAACCATGGTCAATAAATATAAAGTAGGGCTGTACAAACATCTCATTGGGTAATTCCAAGTTAGAATAATGGAAGCACGTGCAGCAGGAACTTTCTTGTTCTTTAAAAAACCTGGTAAATAACAAATGCCACAAATAAGACGTACATTATCATTACAAACTTTTTCAATAAAATAAATTCATGAAAAATACATCTGAAGTAGTATTTAAATGGTGTTAAGTCTGCTAAAATGATTTTCTCCTGAGCTGATGCTAAGGCTTAACAAGGGATAAAAGAAATACTCTGATTGGCTCATGAAATACTAGTTAAGGATGTGGAGTGGTTGCTATGTGATGTTATAAATAATTAGCATACCTTATTTCAGATAGAGCCATGGCCCAGATTTATGCCTGCACAATGGCTCAGCAAACTAGAGGGCTAGACTGCTCGTGTAAGATCCGCACTGAGGAAAGAGGTTTATTATTCTTAGGCAGTTTGAGAATGGCATCTGGGGTCTTAGGAAATTTATATGTGCCATGAAGAGCAGTGAAGCATCTGTTCATTAAAACACAAACGGCACAGGCAGACAAGTCCTGCTACAGGGTGAGCTACAGAGAGGTTATTTGACAATGACAGCTACATCTACACTGGCGATGCTCTCCTCTCTCTCAGCGTATCATAACATAATTAGGAAAAATAAACTATCAGAATACGGGAGGACATCAGATATTTGAAAATAGCCACAGTGAACAGAAGGACTCCAAAAGCCATGGCTGGTTTATGAGACAGTTTGGGCAGACAAGTGGAAATATCACTCAACATGAGAAGAGGTTCCATTTATCGTATAAAGGCATGAGATGCGTGAATAGTGCTCATACACTGAGAGAACATGCACGCTTTCTCTGTTAAACACATTATGGCTGGAAGAGAAGGGCATTCCTCTAGAGAGGGGAAAAAAACTGAACAACAAAGGGTGGGTTTATTTTTTTTTTTTGCTATAATTTTCTTTACGTTTTAGGAAATGGAGTGGGAAAAACAAGGCTCTCCTTTTTTTAATCCCCAACTTGAGAAATGCACATGTCCGTGGCCAGTGGAAAAAAGAGGCAGCAAGAGACTGTGTGCTAAGTTGCCTGAGGCTTCTTGTGAGCAGTCTGCAGCAGCAGAGCCTGTTGAATTATTTTTGATGCATGGCTCTGTCTAGCAAGAACAGCACAACGCACCACGGCACCTGATAACCATGCTCCCAGGAAACTCAAGGGATGCCATCAGTAAATTATTGTTTCCGCCACGCAACCGTGTTTTTATTAAACGTACTGATAGAATCATTGGAAAAAATACTTGCAATCTATGCAATCTTTCCAACACATAGCTATATAGAAAATGTGACCTAGAAAAGAACATCAAAATTAAGTCAACTAGAATTACAATTATGAACTTCGCCTTCCTTGCATCCTGTCCCTTGCAACTTTCACCACTATTTTCAAAATCTGCAAAGCATACTGAAAATAAACCCTCTGCAAGCTAAACCACAAATCAGGACAGAGAGATGGTATTTACAAAATACACTTGCAGTAATCTTTTCCGAAGTCCAATTATCAAATATCAGACAGAACTGTTTACCTCAAACATAGCTGTAGATTCAAAACTACATTTTAAAACCTCAGAAGTGAGTGCCAGTTGCAGCAAAAGTCAATGCAACCTTTACGGCTTTGAGTTAACTCTTGCTTTGTAACTTCTAAGTTACAAAAAAGTTCAAGACATGAAAACACATAGGATCATAGAATGGTTTGAGTTGGAAGGAACTTTTAAGATCATCTAGTTCCAACCTCTCTGCTATAGGCAGGGACACCTCCCACTAGACCAGGTTGCTCAGTCTGGCCGCAAACACTTCCAGGGAGGGGGCATTCACAATCTCACTGCATTATGATCACTGTTATGATTAGGCTGCCTAGAAGAAGCAGATACATCAGTAGTTTTATTACTCAAGAATTTTTAATTACTGCTTTTGTGTCATTAAAAGAAGTACAACAAAGAATTTTCTTAGTTAGTTCAGAGAATTGTAAACTGAGAGACAATTCCCCAAACCTTTTAGTCATAGAGAGTTGCCAAGTTAAAAATAAATAAATAAAAAAAAATCAAGCCAGAACTGCATCCAAGATGACTCTGAAAGTCCCTGCATGCCAGACCGACAGCCTCCTCTCAGCTTAAATATAACACCCTCCTGCTGAGGCAGACACATCATCACCATTGGACTCTAGCGCTTGTATTAGGCCCTGCCAGATTTAAGAGTCTGTCCCACAGGCAGGATGTGGGAAACCCACTCTTTTTAAGAGAATGCTCTACACAGAGACCTCTGTGAGGTCAGCCCTACACAGAGTGAATGATGGCACTCGAAACAGCTGAATGAAGTTAACAGAGCTCTTAAAACCAGATTGAAAGCCATGAGGTGGAATTAGTCTGTTCTGGCTCCAACATATGCTTTTGTTCTCTTTACGTAATAAAGAAGTCTTAAACTCTCCTGATTATGATGATAAAGAAGGTGTTTTGTGATAAAAGCGACAAATAGCCTTATTTATTTATATTTTTTAAATAATAATAAAAAAAGAAACAAAGGAACACAATTTGCTGTTTAGTATCTCAAGATATCGTTTTAATATTTACATAAAGTCAGGAATTGGCCCTGCAAAATGCATCTCGCACGAATGGCCCCGTCAAATGGAACTTCTCTGTACATATAAGAAAGAAAGAACAGAAAGTTTTAAGATTGGAACCCAAAAGCCTCCTTTTACTTATGGATATCATCTCATGGTTAATCAATATTCCCATCCAGGAGAGTTAAGGTAAACAGACTACTAAATGCTGAAACTCCATCTTCTAAGGAAGCCAAACAGACAAGGCAGTGAGTGGGGGGACTCTTTAACTGCCCTTTTACAGGCATGAGCTCTTCTGACCAATGATTTATTCATGCACAGTTACCTGGGAAGCAGGTTGTTAGGTGCTCCATTAGTGCTTCTTGTGTGACTTGTTTTCGGGCAGAGTTCATTGCTGAGATGGCCAGGCAAAGGATTTCCCCAAGTGGAATAAATTGTGACTGACTGATGGGAGACATGCTGATTGGTGATACATCACCTGCAAAAAGACAACAGATGTGCAATGAAGCATTCTGTATAAAAATGCTGCTCACAGAACAACGATGAAGAGACACAATTGGAAATGATGCAAACAGCTCTGCAGTCTTTGTACTCTGCAGAATGAGAACCATCCAACTTATTTCAACCAATACGCTTATTTCAAAACTTGGACATGGTGAACTTTGGAACAGGGGAGATGTACACAATGCAGATATACTTTTTCAAATGGTGCAGTAGACAGTCAGAAAAATGCCTACAAATTGTCATTTAAGGTTGCAAAACCTTACATTTGAACATTCTAGTAGGTAAATCCATATACAAAAGCATTGTACACATTTTTCTGGATGCAGAGATTTCACAACCCATTCATTCACTGGCTAGTGGTATGGATTGCCTACCACTTCCATCTGACAGACTACATCTATTAGTGACACGAGATTACAAAAATATGATGATGTGTTAATGAATACCATTTCCACTCAGCTGGTGAAGTGGAACACACTCTTTTAAGGCACAAAACCATCAAACACCTCAAGATTGATACTTTCAATAGGTCTGTCTCAGATCTACATGACTAATGCCTTTGCAAAGATCATATACTTTTAGGAGTTTTTATGGTTTCCAGGATGGCCTGAAAATAACCTTTGTTGTAACTTCACCCAAATAGTTTTTTCTCGTGTCATCTTTAAACATAATTCTCTAGCCCATACTTAAAAGACCACTGAAAAATCCTTAAAGCAAAAGTTACTGAAGAAATGATAATCTGATAATACTAGCAAGACTGCACAACTACACTTAAAGATATGCATTTTTACATACTTTATATAAATATAGAATTGATCTTACATGCTGCTCCATACTTCCTCTTGAAAGGATAACAGTTCCCTGATGATCTCAAATACAGGGGAGAAACAGACCAAGAGATTTCCTTTGACAGTGGAAAATAAATAATATTCAAATTTTTCTCTGTAATTTTGAGGATCTGGTATTTGCCCTATGAATTCTATATTCCTATTATTTCTACTAGGCAGGAATAGCAGTCTCTGAAAGCGATTATCAAAATACACTTAGTCTTGCATTACAATCATTACTTTGTTAAAGAAAGGAACTGGTGAACTGCTGAGAGTAGCAAATTGTGTAACTGTTTCAGTGAGACATAGCAGCAATGTTTTTCAATACACCAGCTGTACAATCTGTTGTGTACAACAGTGATACACGTTACCCAAGACATAATAATGATTTAAAATACACATTGGCACTATGCTGCCTCCTGACTGCTGCTGATTAATCAGGCCTGATCACGTCATTGCAACAATTCCATCACCGCAGTTTTCCTCCAGCTTCAACACAGCACACCTCAAGACCCTCCTCCTGAGTGATGACAGAGTGAGGACCTTAACATATAACCTGTTCTGGACATTTTCAACTATACATGCCCAAGAAGTTCCTGCCAGAAGTGCTCTCTGCATGCAAGCAGTATCAGTGAGAGAGGTTGTAGAAAGCTTACAGGGAAATGTGATGAGGTGTAATTCCACATGACTCAGGAACAAATGCTGATTGTCCCTTCATCATTGGAGAAAGGATAAAGAACATCACAGTTATTAATTACTGTTTACTGATAACTATGCCTGCTATCAGATGAAATTTGTCTATCCCTGTTATCACTGAGACACACAAGTCACCACTGTGCTTTGTCTAGGAGAATGGTTTCTTTAATAGTTAATTCCACGTCTAAAAAGCATCAGTTTCACCAAGAATCATGCAGATTGAGGTAGGCAATTTCAGAAGCCTTTGATATGCAGAGGATGGGTGCCACAGATGTCCTTGTGAGCAGACCTGGGCTGGGAGCAGCCCGGCCCTCTCCCCGGACAACACCACACCTGCAGGGCTCACCTTTGGGCTCACCCTGCTGGGGCTTGTTAACTTAAACCTAACTGAACACGGGTTACACAACAGTAACATTTATCTGGCTTTTGGTCACCTTGCACAATGCACAATTTCCCTTTTCAAAGCAGGCCTCCAGCATGAAATTACTTTTCTAGCTTAGCATGCGGAAAACATTCAGTCTACTTGATTTGGTCACTGCCAGTTGGGTCCTCATTGTCAACAAGCTGAGAGTTTCCACCAAAACATGAACTATTTCTATTTCCCATACCTCCCCCATCAGGTCCTTAGCACAAACACAAACTTTAGCAGAACATGCTATTGCTAGCTAACAAACATTTCACTAACTAGAAATAAGATGACAATTGCACATAAAACCACAACTTAAATGTCTGTAAATGGAATGGAAATGGTCAAAAAATATTTGTTTACATGAGAGCCTTCCTTTCTGTTTTGTAAAGGACTATCACTAGTCATGGCTTTACATTCTTCCATGGAATATTTTTCAATCTTCTTTATGATGAGGCAACTCTTGTTTCACCTCTGCTGCATCCAAATTAACTCTGTAGCCCTCTGTCAGTAATGGTCCGCTGGTGCTAATTAGTGACTCTGGATTTAAAAAGGCTGACACACACTGGTAACACCAGCAGCAGATCCAGTGATAGAAAGTCAAAAGCCCCTCATCCAGGGAGGCTCTAATTTGCCAGGTTTCATCTTAAATATCCCGCGGCTCTGGGAAATTACAAGCACTCAGCGGTTATAGTTAAGTGAACAAACTTTTCTGATGCACAACACAACATTTCCTTGTGTTTATGATTTAATATATTAACATCAATTATGTGTATAAATACTGTCTAGCCCTCTGAACAGAAGGTTGACTACAACTTTTTTTAGGAAAGATCCATTTAAAAAAAAAAATCAAATCTGCTTTTCCTACTTTTTTTTTTTTTTCTTTTGGAAGACCACATCGCTTACACAAACCATCCAGCATATGGCTCCTGTTAGCTCTGGCTGATGTTTGTCTCAAGCAGCTTTCTTTTGAAACCAAATTACTATCCTTGACTTTCATATGTTTATGTTCCCAATTAAATGAAAACTGAAGCTCAGAAAGCAGTTTTCACCAGCTGACTGCAAGCTCTGTTTAAATACTAACTATATATTTATATGTATATGTATATAGTTTCAGCTCTGTTACTGCAGTGTCTTTCCAATGATCTCTTTAAATAAATTTTAGAAGTTTTTCTACGCTTTTTAAGTGGTACCTCATTTTAAAGTGTCTAAGCATATAACAAACAATAAATAGGGGCTGTCCTCATTTATGCTTAGGGGATTTATAATGCTACCCTGTGAGAAAACAATAATTTCTGTTACTTAGAACAAGAGATTAATTAACAAATAAAATAAACACTTTCCTCCTACATAGCACATCTCTTCAATGGATTTCAGAACATTCAGAAAAACAGAGTAACCATAGCCATCTTCAACATACAAATGAGAAAGTGATAGTCTGCAACTGAGCTGGCAAAGGAAATTCACCTCTCCCTAAACCATATGAACCAGAGCCTTTCCCGTGCCAGTTTACCTACTGAAAGTCAGGGTACCATCCTGGCAGAAAATGAGCTACACTGTATTTCTCACCATCTATCAGTAATTAAACTACCAGCTACATACAGATGACAGAATTTTAATTAGTAATTCTGCTGCTGGAAAGAAGTGACTTAGAAGTCAAACTCTGTCTCATGAAGTTTGCATGAGGACTGTTTGAAAAATCACCTCTTGACTTATGAATGGAACCAATTCAGTACAGCCATTCAAAAAGAAAATTCAGAAAATTACAATGCAAAGCCACAATTTATTAGACTTTATATATACTCCTTCCTTGAAATGCTGAAGAAACCCTCTGATTACACTATGCGTGCTGTGAAATACAGAAAGCCAAATTGGCCATCCTGGCTCTCAACACCTCTGTAGCCTTTTACCTCCTATGGCCCCAAATAAGCTCTAAACGCAATTTCTGGCCTGGTTTCCATGGGAAATGAAGCTTGCACAAACACAGTCTGGGTACGTTCATGTGCCAGAGATGTCGAGACTCAGTAGACAACAGAGACTCTACAGCAGTGAGCACTTACTACACATGCTCCAACTGCTTGCAGCATGGGGCAGAGCCACGTCCTACCAGACACAAGAGATCCTAGTCAGAAAACACACACCAGGTCACTACTTCTACTGCTTACAGGGTTCTGCAATTAATCAGAAAGCATCAAACAACTAGAGTGCTTCATGGCACCTCATGGCCATAGATGTAGTTTCAACAAAAATTCCCTATACACATTTTCTTGGTAACAACATGTTTTGGTCAACAATCAACCACTGTTTCAATCCAGGAAGAACTAGAGAAAGCTGCTCTTCAAACACAAGAGAAGTAACAAAAAACTACCAGTAAGGGACAGAAAGAAGGCTATTCAACTACTGTATTTTCACTATTATTACTATTACTCACTATTACTATTCAACTACTATATTTTCTCTTCTTCCGCCCCCCCAAAATACTGAAAGTGAAAAGTCTCTTTTAGGAAAAGCACATTTTCAAGTTGACTTGCAGAAGCAACAGATGCCCCACAGGTAACATACCTGGCCTGGGTTGCACATTACTCCCTTTTCACCCAAACCTCAACATAACTGAATCACTCTAATCACAGAACACTTGCTTAGATGTGGCAAACTGAACTTTTCATACGTGAACTCACAATGATGATATACGATTGCCATTTTAAGCCAGATCATGCTTTCATCTCATTGAACAACATGAGGGAGCAGAAGGACATGCAGATTTCTATGTTACCCAGATTACCCTGAAATGCCTTGGATCTGCACTAGCATATCGTAAGAAAGAACACATTTTACTAACCAAATCTGAAATAAAGAAAATTAGAAATTACATTGTTTTCACTGTTCTCAGCCATAGCTAAGTCTTCATTTTAAACCCCATTTTGGAGTATTTGCGGGACAATGCAGCAAGCTGTGCTTACTGGATGGTTATGCATATCAGAGGGCTGATTTTCAATAAGAAAAGTTAAAGATTCTGCCATTTATTCACATTTAAGAGCAGGTTAAACAAAGGCATGTCAAGTGCAGTAGCAGACATTCTCTAAACAGGAAGCTCATTCTGCACCTCCAAAACTCACACACATCAAAATATACCTTCTCTTGCAGATACAGATACACTTCAAGAATGCAACCTGGCCATGTGACCAGTACAACTTTAACCAGTCTGAAGAAAACACAGCAACCTTAACAGTGAGCAACCACATGATAAATACTTGCCTCTGAACAAAGTTCTAGTTCTCTACCAGTTATGAACTGCACTTCGATTACGTACATTTATCTTTTCACTTGGTCAGACCCAACTAAAAGCACCATCTCCAGGTTCATCAAGTGCCACACTGCATTTGGAAAGAGGTGCTAAAATACCCACGGTCTCCAGATTTGTCTTACATACATTTCTCCTGAGTATTTGCTGAAATTTAAAAATTTCCTTTTCTTGGTTCATGTCCAGTGGTCAGCTGCCTCCTGATCCAAAGTGATATATATCCCAGCACGTGTTATGACTATAAGCATAAAAAGTTTCTGCTGGAGCACGGAACTTTCCCAGAGAGGATTCAGTTGAGATTTTTTGAGGTACTGCTTATCCTGGGATGAAGGAGGGTAGAACTGCTGTTTTGTTTTGTTTTTTTAATATATTGTGTGCTTTAGAATGTGTTTACACAAATTGTAATTTTCAAACACATCTCTTAGTAAACGTCCATGTCTATATTCCTGGCACACAATATGTTAAAAAAGGGGGACTTACCTGAACCCCTATGATCTGGTTCCATGCTCCAGTACAGTATCCAGAGTAGCTGTGATGTAAGAACACTGTGCATATTGGGGCTTTATATCACTGTGGAAGCTGGCAGCAGCAGAGATCAGTGCCATAGGACCTGAAAGAAGAAAAACAAAGCATGCTTTTAGGCAGCAATATGCCGAACACCCACCTCTTTAAGAAGGAAGTAGAGGCTTCCAGAAAATAAAAGAGAATGCAGTATCTGTGCAGCTCCACCGAAGGGAATGCCATTTCACACTTATTTTCACATAAGCACAAGAAATAAATGGTTAAAAAATGAAGGGGAGGAGGAAGCAGAGAATCTAAAGGGCCCTACAAATACAACTCCCACATCGTGTTTTGAAAACAACTCTCTCCTTTTTGCCCCATTTCCACGGCACAGCTGGAATCCCGTTCTGACACCACCCCGTTTTGAAGGCACTCACAGTCTTAGCAAAGCACCTCTCCACTGCAGTGCCTCAGGATTCTGCAGTGTCACTCCTCTTCTGCCTGGCTCTCTGCAAAGTGAAGTCATAGGAATGGATCAGCCAACCTGACTTCTCACTACCCTGCCCAGAATCCTTTGTGAACTGAAATGAGTCATCGCTCTGAAAAAATCCACCACGCAATGTTCCAGGTTTCTCCCTACGTCTGCGCTGGCTTCTTTGTCTTTGAAACCAAGTGCCTCTGCTTCTGGAACTGTGCCCAGCTGCATTGTACAGGATAACAAGCCAGCCTCCTCATTAAGTGGACAAGAAAGCTATTTACATGCATTAGCAAAGACAAGTTAAAGCTCTAACCCTCCGGTCAAGATAAAAAACATACCCCCAAAATCTCTTCCTGATTTAACACACACACCCCCACAACACACAAAACCACAAATGCTCAGACATACATATACGCACACACACACACACGCTTACACAGAGCTGTATTTTCCTGAATTATTCACTATTTGAACACGACACTAATTTTTACTCTATTGATTCACAGAAAAGACTTACTCTCCTTTGTCAGTCCTGAAGAATGCTGCAGCCCTGCACGTAACAGACTGCATTGCTCTACACTGGATCAAAGTTGTGCTGCTGCAACTGTTTATCAAAAAATTAAAAGCAGTGGACAAGTTCTTGCAAGCTCGTTTTTCATCATTCCATTCACCGTTTGGGCTCACAACAAAGTGAGCCCTGAAACCCCGCCAGGCAGAAAACGTCAAACTGCTCCAAGTGCTGAGAGCCAGTGGAGCTGCCTCAGCTTCTGCTGCTCCTGACAAAGAAAGTAATGCTCAGAACGAGGTCACTGTGTCACCATCTCACTCCCAGTGCTAGGTTTTCCATTGCTTGCTGAGGATATGCTAAGCTGAAGCATCGGAAAAACACAGAAGAGGAAGGAACAGCATGTGATGAGGGACAGATGCAGCCTGGAAGGAACATTTTGAGTTATTTGGGAATTTTGATAGAAAGAAACATTTAAAATTGTCTTTACTGCAAAAGAGCTATTTCTAGTGGTGATCTGTCAAAATGAGAAGACCAGGCAGGCAGAAACAGGAGCAAACAAAACAAGGAGTACTGCCATGGGACCATCCTTTAAAGGCTCCCATATTCCAAGACTCTGAAGTGTGGCAGGCACATAACCCTCACACTCCTGAGCACAGCACTTGAGGACCCACCTCTGCTGGGTCACAGTGACTTTCCCCCGAAGTGAGCACTCTGCTGCCAGCCCAGCCTTGCGATGACCCCAGCAGTGAAAGAGTCTGGCCCAGCCTGAAACAGCTCTGTGTTTCAAGAGGACGGTACAGAGCTGGGTAGCTCCACTCACAGATCACTCTTGTTCACAGCTCTGTGCCAACTGTTATGCAGTAAAGCCATAGTACAACCAAGTTGATTTACAAGTGTAAGGCACGCAGGGTGCTCTGCTACACCTGCACTCACACAGCAGCCAGGATCTCAACATTAAAAGCTGAGAGTCTGCTACACACACAGTCATCAGTTCCTGTGTTCATTCCAGGAAATCTTCCTTCAGCTTCACAGGAGCTTTGCCTTCCCCAAGGCTCCAGGATCAGCCACAAAGCTTCCAGTGAATCCAACTTGGCAATCCCAATGTTTGGATCCCCCAGGATTACCCCGTGGAAACTCAGCTTGCTTGTCTGCTGAGCCCACACCCACTGCACTGCAATGAAACTCATTTCAAGAAGAAACATTTCTGTGTGCTTAAAAGTGAATTACAGCACGCACTTACTGCACAAAAGAACAGGAGCAGCTTCAGGGGATGCCGAAGGTGGAAGGCCAACCATTGTACATCAGCACTCAGCTGCTGGAGCCTGCAGATGAAGAAGCCATGGCTACCCATCACAGGCCATCTGCCATGATCACCACTTCCATCAGAAGTGGCCTCACTGAGCACCCCAGGGAAAACGGCCACTAATGGCACGGCTCCAGAAGAAACCAGATCAAAGGACATTAGAAAGATGCAAGGTCATTCAGACCTCATTTTCCTGGCTGTAAGAAGCACATTCTTTTAGGGTGCTCATGTGAGTGTCCCTCCTGTTTTGTTAATCTTTCTGACTTACAGTTCTTAAAAAACCCACAACCAGAATCCTGTACCATATTCTAGCGCTCCTACCAATTTCTCACCTGCATCACATACAGTGAAATTTACATTTCCAGGCTTTTGGTGGATACCCTGCTTTACATGAACCAAAAATGAAAGTTGCTTTTTTCACAGCTGTACTGCACTGGCAGTCAGCTGTCACAGGCCCCACGAATGACCTCTTGCAGGTATCTTTTTATGCTGTTTCAAACAGATGAATTGGAGGCAAGACTCCAAGCTTTGGCTCCCAAGACTGCAACATGGCCCACTGACACTTCATCACTCACTCACTGGGTATGAAGCCTGCCTATCCAAGTCTTCTATTTTAAGTATCTCCACTTTGCTATAGAGCCACAGAAACTAAAATGGAAAACAAGTGACACTTAACATCTTGCCTACACAGGTTAAAACCAGAACCCAGTGCAACACTTGCTAAGTTACTTGCTAAGTAACACTTGTTACTATCCAGTAAACAGTGTCTGCATGAGCCCATGAGCCTTTACAGAAGAATCAGAACAATCCACAAAACTTCACCCCAAGATAGCTGGTGGCTGAAACAATGTGTTTTTAGAAAACCACCAACACAGGCAAGTAAGTAACAATTTTAAATCATGGGAAGAATTTTCTAAGTTACATTTTACAGCCGGGACTGTACGGTGGGATGGGAGGAAACTAAAGAACAGCAAAATATTGATTTATTTTCTTGCACAGAAGCCTGTTACTATAAATTCTTTGAATTAATACTAAAGGTAGAGTGTTACTAACCTAAAAATAAATAAATAGATGGATAGATAGACAGGTGGAGAGACAGATAAGGCCTGCCTATTTTCTGGCAGTACATAGTTTAAATGCAAGGAAAGATAGAAGCATTGAAAAGGACCCAACGTTTCACAAGATAGCACAAGCATGTGAGAAACAAAAGAAGAGAAAACCAGCAATGATAAACCTCGATGTTTTTTTAGGGCAGGAATCTCATAAAAGATCCCTTTGCCAACACCCCTAGAAGAGAAGAACATGGCTGTTGGAGCACAACAATCAGCTGCCTTAGCCCCTCGCTCCTCCCTATCAACTTCAGCATAGCCAGCACAGTGTCAGAGTGACTGGGAATGCTGCAGCACACACACAGCAAGTCAGCAGCTGAAATTCTTGGAAGATGAAAGGATGATTAGCAACACAGGTCGACTCCTCTTATTTGTATTGATTGCTGTAACTGTGGCAGGATTTTCATCCCAAAGATAACACTGAGGTGGTTACAGCTTTGCAAACAAATAGTGATGACTGGCAGATAACTTCAGGTTAGAGTAAGAGTCTGCAACACTGAACCAAGTCCCATGGTACTGCAGCAGCCTTTAACAGCTCAGTTTTTCCTGGCTAGGAGAGAACTGATGAAAAGGCCAGGGATGGAATCAATTATAATAGTGCCAAAGTGGTTTTAAAAAGAAAAGGTTAGACACTCCAAAGACTTAGCAGCTTAGAGTTCACTGGGTCATTTCCAACTAGTGTAACTACCAGCAAACGCAGAAATCAAAACCTACCTCCCCAAATAAATGACATATCTGGAACCAGAGGATCCCTCAGTTGAACAGTTCACTAGATTAAATGTATTTCCTCCCGTCCATCTCACATGGATTTTGCTCAATTTTACTGAATACTCATTATATTACAGTAAACCAAAACTTTCAACGGGTGTTTTACTACTATTACAAGAGTAAAGCCTTCCCGCATGCTATTCTTCTTATATTTTTTTTTTTAAGCAGAAATTCAAGAATCTGAAAATTTCCCTGTCCATGAGGCATAAACTGAACAGGATATTTCAAACATGGACAGAATTATCAACTTCACAGACAACTACCTCTTGTGAGATTTCTTACCTATTTCCTAATTCACACACTCGCATGTTTACACTTTGAATAATCATCACTAATCCACCAGTTCCACCAATTTGACACCAGCAACGTGCAGACCATGCTCCTGAAGTGGCAGAACCAAAGGTATTACAGCATGACATCCTCCCATGCTCGCTGCACTGCCTTCCACAATACTGCTGACGTCACTGCTTTGCCAAATGGTTCATCTGTCTCACTCAGCTGCTGCCAGGCCCTTCTGAGGCCCTCGTTAGCTATCTTAATGAACCTGAGCAACTGTGACCAGACAGCCCACCCTTCAGATTTCTAATGCAACTATTACAAACTAAACACTCACTGCACATAATACAGTTAACCTTTTCCTGGGATGAGAACTGGATGTTCCTCTTTTTTCTCCCCTGTACTCTAACCAGGGCTCAACAATCATAGAATCCTTAGAGTTGGAAGACATCTCTAAAGGCCATCTAGTCCACTTCCCCTGCAATGAACGGGGACATCCACAGCTAGATCAAGTTGCTCAGAGCCTGGTCCAGCCTGGCATTGAAAGTCTCCAGGGACAGGGCATCCTTGTGCTCCTCAAGTGTTGCTATGACCCAATTTTCTGAAAGATGACAGCACGTAAAAATAGTTGTGTGTTTGCCCTCTTATCCAGTAGAGAGGAAACTAAAGTAGGATATAAGACTGGGCTCCTGAGGTGACCTCAGGAACTGCTGATGGTCTCAAATGACACTGAACTAAACCCAAAGGCCATCAATAGGAAGATGAGTAACTTCTTGAATAGGTTTGGCAAATGTCCACATGAAATTCTTAGATTAAAACATAGGGGATGTATAAATTCAAGCTCTGGATTAAGTACATTTCATGGCATGGTAGGAGAACATGCCGCACTAACCAGCCCTCACTTACCAGGGCTGAACAGAGCCTTAAAAGTAAGTTTTGAAATCTGTGCTGTTTCTTCTGTTCTGTTTGGTACCGAGAAATTTTAGCCTTAAAGCTAATGCACAGGCTGCTTAAAGAAAAGCCTAGGCTGTGAAGATTGAAATATGGTCAGTGGCAGATTGCAGGGCAAAACAAGAAACAACAGATATAAAGAAAAACACAAGAAAGGTTAAAAGGAAATACAAGGAAAGAGATGATTGTTTGATTCCTAAAGCAGGCGATGCAGCAGATGTGATGCTAGTGATGAAAGAAGACTTGCTAAAAGAATCCAAATGCTTAGCGGGGCTGAACGGAAGCAGGAATAACAACCAAATGGTGAGAAATAAACTTTCCAGCTGTACGAAGGCTGGGAAAATCAGGACTGCTGGAATAAGCAAAGTGGGAACGGCTGTGTGTTCTGGTGAAGAGAGAAGTGAACAAAGGGACAGTTGTTTTCCACAAGCCAATCTGCATGTGCTCTGCATCCACCAGGCGCTCGCCTTTGTTTTGTTTTCTAGGCTGACCTTCACCCTGTGCTACAAAGGACTCAATGAAAGCCTCCATTCCCAGCCCCAATTAAAAGCCTGAGAGAACGAACACATCTTGCTATCAGCCCAGAGCTGAAACCCAATTGCCAGTGCTGCAGCAGAGGGAGCATCCTCCAAAGCTCGTGCTCTGATGGAGGGAACCTGCATCCTCCAGTGACTGCAGATGGGCTGTCACTCTTTGGAGCTTGTAAGGTTCCTAAAAAGAAGCATTCGGTTAGTTCTTCAATGGGTTGCTTCTAAGCTTTTATAATGCAGGAGCAAAGCCAGTAGAAGGATGGGAATTTAAGGGGACAATAGAGAAAACAGAGAGTACATTAGTTTGCATGCTAATAAGGTACATATGCAGTACCACTCCACTGAGGGAGCAAGCAGTTTGGGCAGTCTGAACCTAAACATGTGAAAGCAGTTAAACATGTCATCACCAATACTGTCTTCAGAAGTTTACTGCTGCTTTATGAGAACCTCTTCAAAATACACACACAAGTAGTTTCTAGAAAGGAGGTGTAATCCACCAGGGCTTGAAAATGCGTGGCTTCCCAAAGTGTCTTGTGTGTCATGTGTGGTCTGCCAAGCCTCTGCAGGAGGATTTTGCTTAATTTGTGGTATTGTATTTTAATTGTGGTACTACGTTTAATTGAGATGTTGCACTGCAGCTTTATTAGCAGCATCTGGTTTGGTACACTCCCTGATCCCAGTTTGGGGAATCTCTGGGTACAGGGATAAGATGGAAATGGACTGCAAGGCTTTCGTTTGAAAGAATAATTCACAGCCAGAATTACCACCACGTAATTATACCTTTGGAAATCCAAACTTACCCAGGAATAAGAGTGATTTTTAAACTTGATTTAGCTTAAATACCTTCCAAATATTACACCAATGATTGCAGTTGTATACATATAATCCTGCTAAATTCCTCTGTAGGAACTTTCATATCACACATTAAAAAAAAAAGTGAAAACAAAAAATGAAATCAATTGTAATTAACAGTCAAAACAGAATACAAATTTTAATAGAGATGGAAATGTGTCTTCCTGTTCAGTAACACCCCTCCCAATGTATCCAAAAAGTAACATTTAAAACAAAGGAATTATTCTTTCCTTTTAATAATATTTTTTTCCTGGGTTCTGGTAACTTCACTACTGAAGACAGAAAACCACTGAAATTTAAAGTTACAAATTCTATTTCTCTAAAAACTTCCTGTTATGGTCCAAGGCAGAGACATTAAAAGAGCCAAGTTTGGTTCCTATTGCCATATGTTGTTTCTAATAGTCACAGCTTGTGTTTCAAAACCGATGTAGGTTTGCACTTCCCTTTATCTACATTGAATGCTGCTGTACTCTCAGTACTTCTGAAAATAAGGACAGTCATGGAGGAGCCTAATTTTAGACACTCGTTTCTGCAATCTGGCAATAAAGCTCAGATTTGAATGTGAACAGAATCCATGCATGCAAGTTACTTAGTAATATCTGAAAGTCTCAGGCCTAACGTCTAAAGTTATGCATCTCCTTCATATTTGAACAGTTAAGACCCTAAGAGTCTACTTAATGGCATAAATGTTTTACTAATATGTATTTCATCTTGTACCTGAGGAACTTCTCTCAGTGGAATTTTTAGTGTCACAGCTGTTTACAAGATATGCTTTGT